AGGGGATGACAACTCTTATGGATGACCAGAATTGATATAAATTTACGAAATCTAAGTGAATGCATTTTTTTTTAGTTTTTAACTAACTAGTAATTTTTACAAATTAACATTTTCAGCAATTATTTAATATTTTATTGACTTTTAGTTAAGTTTTTAAGAAGCTTTATGAAATTTGCATTAATTGAAGTATGACAAACTAAAATAAATACAGAAAATAAAAATATTTAGTGAAATAGCAATTAAGTAAATTTATATTTTGAAGAGATGATTTGCAAAGACGTTAATGATGAAACAGAACTGAATTAAAATTTAAATAATTGCAGTGCGCCAGACAACACTTAAATCACGTGACCTTTTTAAGGATTATGTCATCTATACATTCCTATAGGTAGAAATTAGGAACTTTTTTTTTTTTTCCCTCCACTAAAAATTATTTTTAAGTCTATTTTAAAATATTCGGATTCAAACGACTGTTATAATGCTTTTCAAACTTCTATTCGTAAATTTACTTTTCACTTAACGATATCATCAGGTTGCATTCTTGAAAGCAATGAAGAATTTTAAACGATTTTTGAACTATTACAATTAAAATTTGAAAAAAAAAGAAAAAAATTCTTGTAAAAATCCATTATTCATTGAAAATGTTTTATTTCTTCAGACAATAATGTCCTTATATAACTTATTTACAAAAACAATTAAAAGCTTTAATTTTAATAATGTAATACTGCATTTTTTATTTTACAATTCAAAGCAGATTTTCGATGAAACCGGTAACTGTTTTACAAAAAAAAAAAAAAAAAAAAAAAATTTACTTTCCCCAAAAGTCCTGTTTATAGCTAATAAACCCCTCCCACCCTAAAAATTTAATTTCTCGAAATTTCATGAAATTATGTAAGTGGGTGGTAACATGTAAAAAAATTTTTTATCACCAAGATTTTCTAAAAATTAAAATTTCAAAAATTCGACAAAAAGAATGTAAAAAAACGATTTTTTAATCAAAATTTCGAACGTGCTAGAAAGGAGTAAAAAAAATAAAAAAAAAATAATAAAAAATACTTTGGTCTTTCCTCCTAAACAAACATTTTGATGACAAAACTTTGTTTTTATTGAGTTTGGGGCCTTTTTTCATCATATGCTGTTTGTTTTTTTTTGTTTTTTTTTACGCGACCTAGTGGAGGTACCTACATGATTGCCAATTTCGCAACAAATACGAGATGAGGATGTTCGAGAAGAAAAATCATAACTGAAAGACTTACAGGTAACTGGGTGGACGTTGATAACGAAGGAAGAGACTAAAGAGACAAGAGACGACGTAAAACAATCACACACACACACACACATTGTCTAACCCTGCTATTCGAATCCTAGACCGCCTTCCCTTCAACTTAGGGCAACACTTTCCAAAAATCGGCCATAATAACTACAGCAGAAAGTAAAACTTTAAAAGCTGACAAAGAAAAAAAAAATCCAATTTTATTGGTTACGGAACTGAAATAGTGAAAGAAAGTGAATATTTCCAGGAAATGTAGACTACACATCACCATCAACAAATTGAAGTTTGTTTATTCAATAGTCAATACTAATAATTTATGTTCTACACTTGATACCAAAAGCAGAAATATAAAAAAAGATATACAAGAGATAAAACAAAAACTTTCCAAAACGATAAAAAAATTTAATAAAATGTAACCAAATTGATGTGGCGAGGGAGAAGAAAAAAATAAATAAAAGTACGTAACTGATTTCAGTCGATGAAGAAGGGAAAAAAAAGCAATTGTTAACTCAAAAAATATCAGTTGTTAAAGAAAGCACTACATTAAATAAAATTACGAAATATTTTTAGAGCGTTATCAAGGAGTTATTTTTTTATTTTTTATTTTTTACATACACAACCTGTTGAAAAACGAGTCATACTCCTAAATAAGTAATAAATAACATTTTTTTTTCTACTGAAACTTTGGAAATTATGATTTGATATCTACCTTTTTGTTTTTAGTCACAGAAATATTTATTGCAGGAAGGCAATAAAAAGTGAAACATTGACATTTTCACACACGCACAATTTAAATCTCAATGAATTAAGAAGTGTCAAGAATTGTTAACATTTAAAGAAAAATTAACACATTCCTACACAAGTCATCTAAACATTTTCAAATCCTGGAAATAATTGTTTGTGTGTAACTAGTTTTCATAGCCCAGTTATAAAAATGGAAATATTTTTGAGAAATTAGGGAAAAAAACAAGTTAAAAACGATCAAGAAAACCCAAAGGCATCGACATTTAATCATGATTAATAAGAAAAGCCAGCCAAATTGAAGACTTTCTTTTTTTTAATGAATAAAAAGTTAAAAATAGCATTGATAAACATAAAAAATTTTAAAATGTAATTTTTGCCCCTCTCAGGTGGGTGTGTTGTATGTCATGTCACAATTAGTTTTAGAACAAGAAGAGACACCAAAACCAAATCATTAAGACATCGTGCTAGGTAAAACAAGATTTTTTTTTCATAATAAAAAGTAGAAAAACAACTATTTGAAGATGCTTAGAAGATAAAAAAGAAAAAGAGAGTGTGTGAGTGGGGGTGGGTCATTAATTACCGAAACCAAATAAAGAAAGGCTGATTCGATACAACTAAAAAGTTAAACGTCCCACATCGATATTACTTGCACCGGACAGGTTTTCTTGCTATTTGAAAGAGGAGAGATAGAGAAAGCTTGATGCAAACCTAAAAGCAAAAAGCTTCTTTGAAAGTTAGCTTAACTTTGAAAATGGTACTTAGAATCAATTTCAACCTCATTTGGAGTCACAGATAAAAAAAAAAAAAAAAAGATTTGCAAAATAGCAAAACATTTTTAGGGAATTTGTCTATGTACCTACCAAAGTTTTTAAACATTTAAGGAATTCGTTATCGGTTATAGCAAGGAAGTTTTTTTTTCTCTTATTTTAACGCTCAATTGAGTTTTGGTGACTGTTTAAGACTTACTAAGCGGGTTTTAAAACATTCACCAAAGAGAATAGTTGTTTTAGTGTGCTTTGAAAAGCCGGCAGCCATGTGGAAGGTGTGTGTGCGCCTTTCTTTTTCTTTCGGTCCTATTCGATCTTTAGCAGTAGAAAAAGCAAGCATCTCCCCCAAGATTCCAATCCTCCCACCTCTTATATAGAACATTAGTAGTAACTGCGTGATTGCTAGTTTGATTTTATAATGAAAAGGGACCTTAGTTTTAGTGACCATGTGGTGATCAGATCTATTATTCTGAAACACTACTAGCCTATTTAAGGATGCTTTTACAAAGATAAAAAAATGCCGAGTTAGTAATCGACTTCAAATTAAGAAAACGTAATTAATACTAAAACTAAATAGAATTATAATTAACAATAGTACATCTGCCCTTTTTTTTTTTTACTTAAAAATGCAACGTATAGAACGAGCTGCGTTTTTGAAAAATAACAATATTTTTAAGAAATAAAGTTGTTTATAAATATAAAACAGATTTAATCAAAATAAAACAGAAAACCTATTATTATCTGTAAAGAAAGATCTTGTTTTCTTTCAATGTTAGGAGGAGGAGAGGATTAAAAAAATAAAATCAATATTTAAAAAAAAAAAAAAATTTTGATTAGAAGTTCAAGCTACGAAAGGTCATTTTCCATTAAATATTTTATTTTCATACAGATACAATTCTTATTTTATTTTTGGCTAATAACTGTTTTGCTATCACTTACAATCAACATTGCCTATCAAGTCAAAAAGAATTCGTTTTAAATTCCTAGAATGTCTTGGGAGGTGGTAAGAAGTTGAGTGGCGAGTGACCGCAATTTATATGAGTAGTCAAAGTAAAAGCAGCCCACGTTGCAAAATTAAAGAAAAATACTCAGAAAACAAACTGTGACGTGTGTACGTAAATAAAATAATATGCAATTTTAAGCAGAAGAAACAACATATTGTTCCATTAAGTTTTTTTTTTTTTTTACCGACCGAAATTCAATAAATCAAGAATCGTTTTTATTCATTTCTGACCTCGTGGTGAAAATTACTCAAAATTAAAGAGAATAATCTAACTTTCTTAGCAAAAAACCTTCCCAAAAAACAAAACAAAAAAAACTAAAAATAAAGCAATAATTCCTTTCCTAATAACAATTAAAATAAAAGGTACTTTTTATTATTTTGACATTTTAGAGAATTTATTTGAATTCCAATGTTTTAATTCCCCAAGACGTACACCTACTTGCTTTCGTTGGATGTGTTCTGAAATCAAATCATGCTTGATGCGATCAAACAGATTTGTTTCTTTCTTGAAGACTATTTGAAGAAACGACCAAAAATTGATACGATGAACACATTTTTCGAAGTAAGGAGTTTCTATGAACTGAAAAATCTAAAATATGTGCAGAAAAAGAAAAGAAAGAAATAATAAAAAAATGACCCCCGATTTTGTGGCCACCGCCTTTTCCTACGAAGTATTGCTTTTGTTCTCCCCTCCACTTAAAATCAGTTTTTCAGAAGAAATTAGTTTTTAGATATAAATACGAAAGAGAGATGGATTCTGATGTAAACTTTATTATGGTAAAAGGTGAAAATGATTTAATCGCATTTTGTGATAAAATCGAAGACGAACCTTTCTGCCATGAGAAACTACCAAAGAAGAACCAAGGAGAATCATTTTACACGACATTAAATAGTAGTAAAGTTTGGTCAGCACATGTCAAAGCTTTAGATCATCCATCAAAAGCAAAATTACTACCTCAATCTACCTAAGATAATCATAATTACTCAAGCAATTTACTTGTCCATCGACGAAACTTACCTGCTCGAACCCCCGCCATAGCGGTCCTCTCCATAATAATTGTGGTTAGAGTCCGAATAGTCGGCCATTTTGGGGGAACTGTAACCGGAACATCAAGCAGAGCGCCGCCTGGTGGAAAATTCTAACGGAAGTAGTCGGCGCTACTAGCACTGATTTCCGGTCAATATGGCAACCTCTAATTACAGCGGTGACAGCATGGAAACTAACACGCCTGTGCCTCTTAATTCTCAAGAAGAATCAAAACCCACGAAGACACAAATGAATGCTCTCAGTGTTGATCAAGCTATTTTGGATATATTTACTGTGCTGGCTATCGCTTCGAAACAGAAACGGATAAGCTCGGTGGAAGATCTGATCAACAGGTTAAAGGAAAAACAAAATGATGTATGTATTACTGATAGTGAGACTCCACGTGGGTTTCGTGTTTGTTTGTCATTTTACTAACCAGCATAATTAAAGGGTAAAAAGCAAAATGTAACTACATTTTTTCTTTGTTGTTAATTTTATTGAATTCTTTTGAAAATGACCAGAGTTTTATATTTTATTTGAACTTTTAAAAATCGGACAATATGAATACCAAAAAAAAAAAAAAAAATTAGCGTCTTGCAAAGAAAAAATTCAAAATTATAATAATTTATAATAATGGCCATTATTGGCAGAAAACAAAAAAATTATTAAAAATAATCGTATCGGCAAGAGATGTAGGAAATAGTTATTGATTTAATCAATGATTAAAAGATTTCAATCTTTATTCGATTATGACTAAACCTCAAAATTGCCAAATTGTATTTAAAAATTATTAAAAATGCATTTTTATGGTGAACTCACATCACTCAGTACGAGTCAAAGGTCAATTTTGGTAGCTGAGGTTATTTGCAAATTAACGGCTAACGGACAGCTAGTCTAGCTAGAGAGTCTCTAGACTGAATTTGAGTTCTTTTAGCATGTCATACCAAATAAGTATTGTGCTGGGGAAACAGACCTTAATTATTATTTAATCGTGCTGACACTTGTATTTGGTACAATTATTTGGGTAGACAACGTGGAGCCAATCGATGTAGTGGACGACTATATATTTTGAGGTTTGACTTTTCTTGATAAAATCATTAAAAATTTGGACAGAGTTTGCATAACCAAATTAATTAAAGTTTACTTCTCAAAAGACAACTCTCCACTTTGTATAGTCATTAAGATTGATGAGCCTTGCCTTGGAAGTGGGGTTCAATCAAGGCATGAAAGAGGTCAGAGGGCCAACCACAGGATAATGTTGCCTGAATATCTGTGTCTAAACAAGTTAACGATGAATTTGAATGAAAACTGCTAGTATGGTTGGATAATGTTCAAAGGCATTTTGGTTGGGAATCCAAATCTCATTTCGATATGTGTATGCTCGGTAATGGAGGTGCAATATTATACCAAAGGAATGCACATCACTTCCTTGGCTATTCCTGCCAATATGATCCATTGCTACCTAGTCTGAAAGTATTGTATAAAGTTTGAGACTTTGTGCAGGCAAAAGTCTTGCACAACTGATGTCCATCTAAGTATCTAGTGAGATATGTCATTAAAAGATCAGCTGTCCACATACGATCCTGATTGATGGAAGGCTGTGCTATCATGGGAATGACCTTTGGCTGTTTGTAGATTCTGGTGCATAAATGAGTGACATTAGCAGATTAGCATATGCAAGTGGCTCAAGACTGGATTGAGCGTATATCAATTAATTGTTCAGAAGCGGATAAATTGGGGCTTGATTCAAGCACATCTGATGGTTTCTCTTGTAGAGAAGAGACAGCAATTCTGCTCCACTTTGAAGGAAAAACAAACTTGAGAGACCCCAATAAAAAAAAAAAAGAAAGCTGTCAGATTTGTGATCATGAGATCTCTCAGGGTGGGCGGAAGAGTTTATTGAAGAAGAAAGTAGTGGCTTACCTTGCTGGACAAAACACCTACATATTATGTATTCTATCTCTCAGGCAAAACTTGTAACCTGGACAATTCTTACACATTTTGTTTCACCAATTGTGGGTGTCTCGAGTATATGTCAGCTCTTGCTTTTTGAAAGATGTCAGAGTTTTTTAAATTAATGGTTTGAAAATTATCTGATGTACAGATTTTGGCCTGTGGGGTTTTTAGCCCTTGCAGACCATGACTTTGTCATCTGCCATTAGATTTTATCTTTATTTCTACTGCTTCAAACATGTTGTATATGGGTCACTTTCCTGCTATATCATCATCATTTATTTTCTTCGCTTCAAACTTAAAAATGTTCTGAAAAACCTATGGGAGCATTTACAAATCTGGTTGTTTATTTTGATCATAACATTGTTGGAGAAATTTAATTTCTTGCTTGGCTGATGATTGGTTTTGGGGAGGTAAATATTGATTTAATAGTACATGTTTTATTTGTGATGCCATGGAAACTTATGGAGGAACAGTGTAGCAATGGATAGTGATTTGGAGAGTTGAGTTCATTACATTCACTTACATGCTAATACTCTTGAGAAAGGTATGAATCTATCCCTTTTATCATCCCCCAGCTGTGAATTGAATAGCAGGACAGGCTGGGTCCTGTAGCCTTGAGTGGAAACCAATCTAAGAGAAGGGCAACTCTGAGGTCGCAACCTAAAGGACTTTTTTTTTTTTTTTTTTTTTTTTTAGGGACTGAGAGTGACCCATGTATTTCAAGGTCTTTGACTGTTGGTCAAGAGCTTTGTGAGGAGATGTGGGCCCACTGAAATGACGAAGAATCAGTCTGTTTCTTTTGCTCTTAGGTCCCCCCTCCCTGGATGATTGAAGTAGTCGATGGACTGATGAAGATGCCTGTAAACTAAATATACATGCAAGCAGAATATCACAATCATGATTGCAAGTCTTGAAACTCATTAGTCGTAGGAGCACCATGTGTACTGCAACCACTGTAGAAGTGGCATGTCTTGGGCATGATAGCCTAATGAAGCCCAATCCTCTTCAGGCTGGTTTGAATTCAGAGTTTTTCTTCTTCTAGACCAGTTGCCACCCAAAGTTATAGAACCCAGTCTATCTTGCTATTTACTCACAACTGGTGTGGGGGGAGAAGAAAAGGATTCATACCTTTCCCAAGGTATTAGCACATAAGTGAATGTAATGAACTTAGCTCTCTGATTCCTCAATGCATGTCTCCTTATAAGCAGAATTATTCTATATTTAATAATATGTCTGTTGTGTAAGCTATTTAGTATCTGCTGGGTTAGTGTATTAATAAATAGTTTCCATATTGATAGGTTATAAATTAACACCACCTGTGAAAAAAAAGGATCTGTACTTTTATCCAAATTACACCAAATTATTTTTATATGCTGTGTTACTTCAGGACATGGTCAATCATAGCTCTCTCTCTCTACAACTTCCTATACTTTGTAACTCTTAGCAATGTTTCTATTTTTTTAGTATCTTTCTCAATCTCCAATGTGCCATCCAGTTATACACGCTTGTTATGTCAGTTACATTCTGTTTTTCTTTGACCCCGTTACCATCACTATGTTCTCCAAGTATTCAACACAGTTATTAAAATTAACAGAAAAATATTGAAATATAGGAGGCCTTCTCAACATTTATGATTAATCACTATTTTCATGGCTCAAAGTACAAAAACAATATAGTTTTGTTAGAAGCATTAGTAGTGTAATGTAGGTAGGTAAACCACTTAGGAAGAAACCTCATAAACTGCCTTACTGTGAAACAGTAGACGTGTGTGTTATTGTTAGTGAATTGTCTAAATTTTGAGTGCTAGTTCGACTTTGTAAGCCTTCCAGGAAAGCACATTTTGGTTCCAATGAAGACTGGAAAAAGCTCTTTCAAATAGGTTGCGCACACGTAAACAAGGGCGGTAACTCAAGTTTTCAAATTAATTGTGATGAAAAAGGTTTGAGCTGAATAGAAATTTGTACCTTATATCCTTCATTCAGAAAGTTGACCAAAAGTCAGACTTTTTGTCTGCTGCTACTGTGAAAGAGGATGATTCTTCATGCTTCATAAATATCAATAAAATGATTAATGTTTATTCACTGTACTTTTTTCTTTTGTAGCAAATAGAAGCTTGTGGGGAACTTGATTATTGTGTGAAACGACTCATCAAAGGTTTATCTTCCACAAGAAAATGGGTGCGTATTGGCTTTCCACTGGCTCTTTGTCAGGTAAGTAAGGATTTAATTTTGTTTTTAGGAAATTGTTTACTCAGAATTCAGTTTTGATTTTTGCCTTAGAATTAAAACGAGTGACAAAAAGTTATTTGAATGATAAATTGGTTTCCTCTTCTGTGTGTGTTTAATTTCATGAAAGATAAACTATTTAATGAAAATGTGCAATTTTGTTACTAAGCAGTTGTAACAGCATTCAGTGGAATTGATATGACTTTTTTGCTTCCTCACCTCACTCCCAGTCTTAAATTCTATAACTAATGAATTTGAATTTATGACTAATCTCAATATGACAGTTATCACAAAGACATCAGAGACAACTATTTAATAAATTTAAAAGAGAGTTTACTTTACATCAGAAGCAGGAGTCTACCAAATACAATGTAATCAGTACCACAAAATACATCACCAAAACAAGTTAAAAGAAAAAAAAATATGACCATAAAAAGGATTTAAAATGAAAGAATACACTTGTGTATCAGCAAAACCTTTGTGATCATCATTTTGATAAAACCTGAATATAATTTACTGAAGAAAAGATACATTGAAAACTTCGAACTAAAGCCTTTATTTAGTCTACAGGGGTAGATTGTTCTTGTCCCTCATTTTGTACTTCTTGGTTATTGCTTGCCCCACTTCTAAGTACATGCTGCCCCACCCAAGGATTGAACTTGCAATTACTATGTCACCTAATTAGAGCTTTTTAAAGTTCCTCCAGCCTTATTTTTATTGAACGGCTAGTTTTACCATTGTGTTGGAATGCGTCACAAAAAAATAAATGACTTTGTCTCTTTCTCTCCTGCTGTCGTAGCGACGGACACAGTCTCCACTTCTGAGACTGAAAACTAACCTCATTCTCATTCCAGCCCTTTACATAGAGCTTGGTAACTCATCTATGCAAAACACCAACAAGCCAGCTACCAATCACAGTTCCCGTGCCTGCCCACCTCCACTCGCTTTGAGGGTTTCAAGTTGACCGACCGACTCATTACACGCCCCCCTGATCTTAAGATCACAAAGCTTCTCAGTTCGAGAGATGGTTGCGTCTGTCTAGTGACTGCGTCCGCATATATACAACTTGCACGCTTGACATATTGGGATAACCACACATACGCAAACTCGTTTGCTCCGAGGTGGCAGATTTCCAGATTCATCCCGTGACTCGCTGTCATGCTCGCACAACGTGCAACTTGGGGCAGGCCTCTTACTGATGTCTCAGTTATCTCCCTTTAACTCTTTGGGTCAAGTCACTGGATCCAACCAATGCTTTTATCCACTGGACCATGAAATAAAGGGTTTAGTTTGAAATTTCAATCACCTGAAGTAGGCTTGAATGGCTGAAACATCATGGATATGACAATAAATATGAGGACAACAGTTGAAACAATGTAAATAATGTAAATATTTCTAAATTTGTTGCTATGCTTACATGTTTTGGTGGTTGTCAATCCAGGTAACATTCAAGGAAAATCAAAGTGAATCTTTTACTTAGGTTGGTACATTCACTTGCATGACTGGGCCTTTGTTACTCCGGTTTCTCTTTGGTTCATGTCTTTTTTCCATTTGCTTCTTCTGTCAGAAACAGTCTAGTGCATCCACAGATGATAGCCACAATATTTTTTCCTTCTGAAACTTTATTTTTATGCGTCCAGGTCGAAATTTTTCATGTCTTCTGACTTCTTCAAAATGTTCACTCATCAAAGCAAAGGTATGAGAAAATTATCAACTCCCCATATGAGTTGTAACAGAGGAACAAATGACAAGACAACTGAACAGCTTAAAAAGCATTCTTTTATATTAGTAATGCATTATACAATGAAAATGAGAAGAGAGAATTGCTAATTACTCATTATTATCAGATACATGGACTCATCTTTCCTAGCAGGGTACTTATCAGCCAAGGGGAGGTGACCTATATTTTTCATAAAAGCAAGCTATTATTATTAACAGTATCAATTCAATCTTTATCAATTTCCCCAGTTTTTTTTAATAGTAGCAGTTTTTTTTGTTTAATAAATTTTCTTAATAAAAGTACTTAATTTAAATGTTTCATGACATTGGAAACATCGTAGATCGAAATGTGCCTTTCATGCCGACCCGCTGTGCATTGCTTTGCGTTGATAGTGGCAGTCTTTGGCAAAATGATTCGGCCCAGAGCACCGATAGCAGGTGACATCGCCATGGCGACGGATGGCTGGGGTCGGATCCTCTTTGACTTCAATTGGCTGAACGACTGCGGCCACTGGTTCATCAGCCTCTTTTTCGTCGATCATGATAGCACGGGCTCTGGTCAACAATTGATTGAGCGTCATGTCTTCCATTCTGGATGATGCACGGAGTATCTGCTTAACATGACTAGGCAATCCAGACACGACGGCACAGGTCATCCATTCTTCAGGAAGCGGTGGTGATCGGTATGGCGAGCTTCTTTAATTCTGCCAAATATACGTCTACTGTCTCGCCAGGTCGCAGACGCCGCGCCTGGAATTGGTCATAGGCCATGAACCGGTCAGTTCCATACGCGGTTAGTAGAACATGCTTTATTTGCTCAAAGTCACTTTTCTGTTCTTTGCTCAGCTGCCTATACACAGCAAGGGCGCTGCCTTTCAATCGCAGTGGAAGAATCCGTTCAATCTTCGTGATTTCGCATAATTCGCAGACAAGTTCCACTTTTTCAATCCATTCAACCACAGACTGTCCACTCATATCACCACTGAATTCGGAGATCAGTTTTATGTCGAACGGTCTTTCCGCCATCTTGCTGGAGACAAAGTAAATGTCGAAATAGCTTGTGTTAAAATTCGTCACGAAAAAATAAATGACTTTGTCTCTTTCTCCCCTGCTGTCGTAGCGACGGACACAGTCTCCACTTCTGAGACTGAAAACTAACCTCCTTCTCATTCTAGCCCTTTACATAGAGCTTGGTAACTCACTTATGCAAAACACCAACAAGCCAGCTACCAATCACAGTTCCCGCGCCTGCCCACCTCCACTTGCTTTGGGGGTTTCAAGTTGACCGACCAACTCATTACAACCATTTTTATATTCTTTGCCACAACTGCAAAGAATGAAACTCACGATTCTTGGACATATTCTTCACTGTTTTTCTCCCTAGTGTGAAAATACTTTTGAATATTGTCCTTATGTATGAATTGCAGATGTTTTATGAATTTTTTTTTTTTTTTTTTTTTCTGATAACGCCTTGATGTAAGGAAAATTAACCCAGGCAGTTTTCTACCCGCCCCTATTCCTTGTGTTACTGTCCTCCTGGGGCACAGGTTACATTTACAGAGTAGTTGTTATTGTGAAGAGTATGTTCAATGCTGATCATTTCCTGTTGGTATGTGTCTGGATTGACAAGGATTTTTGTACAGTGCGGAGTAATGGATAGCGGCTTGGAGTGAGGAATCAGTGCCGAGTTTGAATTCCAGTCAAATCCATTGCATTCACTTAGGTGCTAATACCCTTAGGAAAGGTATGAATCCCCCCCCCACCCTGGATAAATAGCAGGACAGACCGGGTTCCATAGTCATGGATGGCAACCTACTGCGGCGAAAAAAAATCTGCCTTGTCAGTTATGTATTAAAAGATACACGATCACCTAAGCATGTATCATGCATGGCACATAACTGTTGTAGGCATCAGACAATATCTTTCTTTACATTGGATGGTGGGAATTGAAGTTGAGGCATTGTCGGGTTAAGGTTGGCTTGCAATATGTGAATACCCTGAACACATTCTGTGTCTATTATTAGTTTATTTAGGAAGGTGAACATATATACAAGGAATATTATGAGGAAATGGCTTTAGAAATGATACCACTGAAACTCTGGCTTCACTAGGATGCTATACCAATACTACTAGACCACGGAAACTCAATAAGACCTTTGATCCAGTTCACAATGGAAAATATGGAAAATCATATTTAACTAGGTTTCCTTAGTTATTGCATTACATCATGGGTAGTTTTATGATTAGGACCTTAATCCTATCAAGTCATGGATTTTGATCAGCCAAACTATGGGAGTCACTGTTCGGTTTTCAGCTAAACTTTCTATTAGTCATAATGTGACACGACTGATTTCAATCTGTTTGCCATGATAGACTCGTATCTCCAATAATATAATTTTGATAAAAATTAACTTTTTATTCTTTTTCTTTTTCATTTTTAATAATAGGTTGTTGTATGATTTCATAACAAAGACCTTGTATTTATCGGTTCCCATATAAATACCTTGTATTTACTTGTTCCCATATAAACCATGCAAACAAATATAACAAAGATATGTTTTCTTTAAGGTGTTACGGCAGTTTCCACAAATCAAATTAGTCAAAGTTTTGGAAATGATTGAAGAACATTTGGATCCATCAAAAGCTGGCAGTATTCCTGTAAGTATTTCTTGGACACTTTTTTCCAATGGAACTTGGTATGGCCTTATTAAATGTCTCTTTATTGTAGACATGTTTTATGGAATTTTCTGGAGATGTAAATAAGTTAGCCATAAATGATCAAGGATATTTGATTAGTTTGTGTTTTCTATGGAAGATGGACTCTGAAGTAAAAACTTTATCCCAAATATCATGGCCCATTAATATGTATGGCAACACATTTGGCTAGATGGAACCGTAAGACCTCCTTGAGAAAATAAGTTAAAGTACTGCTTCTCTGTAGCATCATCACTATCATTGCCTACCATGACCAAGAAACACATTTCACATTGAAAATGTTTAATTAATTTTTTTTGGACCTTCTCAAGTAAAGAAAAAGATGGTAATGGAAATTTTTCCAGAAGTAATTTGTTGGCTTGTTAAGACATACGTGCAGTAGTAAAGCATAACATATTAGTTTTGCAGAAAATGAAGGACGACCTTTTGGTTGATAATGTTGTCTTTGTTGTATCTTAGAATTAAGTATGGCTGTTCTTCTACCATGTTTTGTATGTAGTTAGGAAAATTTTCTAACATGCTAAATCTTGTGAGTTTGGCATTACGTCCATGTATAAACCACTGTGGTAACGGTATGGGGGTTCCATCATGCTGGAGCTCGATGTGACAGTTTTGGTCAATGCGAATACATTCTTTTATAGATGGAAAATATGTTTTAGGGTCAAAGACTATTCTATAAATTAGAATATAATTTTTTTTTTTTTTTTTTTTAACCATTAAAATATAATCTTACTTTTTTTCAAAACCATTACGACAACACTTTGCTTCTTACAATTGTGTAAAATCCTTTGTTGTATCAGCTGAAATAAAACCATGTAATTCATCAGTTTGGACTGGTTGTTGTTTTGGAGACTTTCTGAATTCCCTTGTATTCAACAAAAGAAATGGTTTTCTTATTGTTACTGAATGTATTGGATGTAAATCCCAATTCAGTTTGTTTTGTTTTCCTTTCAAAATAAATTTCTCTTCAAAATGTTTAATACAGAGAACTGAATTTTTCATAGAAAAGCAATCAATACGATTAACGAATTTTATCCATTTTTCTACGAGGTTGGATTTTCCAAGAGGAAAAGAAAATGTTACTTTTTCACTGCTAGTAACATATCCACTAGAACAGCCAAATGCAACACGTTTGTTAACCATTTTTGTTAAACAGACTATCACAACAAACTTTATAATTTAATCTTTAAATGCATGGGACCATGAGGTAGAAAATTTACCTAATAGCATTCATTTGCAAAACGGATTGTATACACAATTGAAAATCATAAGAGTGAGGTTACTTGCAGCCATTTATAATTCATGGATTGGCTGAGGGAGTGTAAATATGCATTTTAGTATTGAAAACATGTCAAGGGAATTGAAATAACATCTGATAAAATCTATGTAATTGTATGTTGTTAATTAGGTACCACCATTTTTTTTTCACTGAAAAAAGGCTCCAAACTTAATAAAAACAAAGTTTTATTGTCAAAATGTTTGTTATTAAGAGTAAAACACAAAGTATTCTTGAATTATTTAAAAAAATTTGTTACTCCTTTCTAATGCATTCACAGTTTTTGTTAAAAGTCTCCTTTCTTTCTTTTCTTTTTTTTTTTTTTTTAAATGCCATGGTTGACATAATAATTACGATTAGTGTCTTTGCACTTTTTTCCCAGTGAAAAACACATTGATTTGGAAATTTTTTGCAAGAATCAAACAATTGTTGGATTTTAATGAAACTTTCAGGACTTATTCACAAATGAATGATTTTTTTTTTTTTTTTTTATTTACATATGTCACCCACCACTTAATTTCATGAAATTTTGAGAAATTCAATTTCAATTCCAAAATTTGTTTTATTAGCAGGATTTCTTGGAGACTGTAAATTATCAATTTTTTTTTTTTTTTTTTTTTTTTTTTTATGGAAACTGCTAATCATTTCCTGAAAATCTGCTCAAAATTGTAAAATGAAATAAAACTACGACATTACTTAATTAGTGAAGCTTTAAATTGTTTTTATAAATAATATTTATTAAAGACACTATTGTCTTAAGAAAAAAAAACATTTTTCACTGAATAATGAATTTTTACAAGAATAGTTTTCATGTTTAAATATTTTAATTATAATAATTTATACTATAAATCATTCAAATTTCTGTATTACTTCAATCTGGTTAGATTATATTGCTATTAAGTAAAAACTATATTTACAAATAAAAAATTGAAAAGCTTGTTAAAAATCATTTACATCCAATATTTATAAAAAATTTATGTATACATAATGTGCCCCTATTTGGAAGTATGGTGACCATAAAAAAGAGCAATTACTATAGTAAATTTAAATTCAACTTTCCTAAAAGTAGATTATGGAAAAAAATTTCCTACACTTTTAAGAATACTGTGCACTCAAAAAATTATATAAAAAAAGTGTTCACCCATCAGTTTCTTAAATTATGTTTTATTAGATAGGGTCTCTTTAAAACAATGCATGTCAATACCTAGTAAATTACTTGTCAAATGATTTAGCTCTTAATTGCGCTACTGTTTGTTTTTAAAAATCCATTTCTCTGTTATTTTAAATTTAAAGTAAATATTTTTTCAAATGAAATTGATTATACTTTAAATTAGCTAATATTCCACAAATAAAGTTTCAGTAAAGTATATTTTATTTTTGAAAGATTTTTAAAACCGAGAATTAACTTTTGTTTGCAAATGTGTCCAAAACGGGCTGAATTTAAATGATTTCTGAAAGTGACTGAAAAAGTTGAGATTCCAATCAATATAATTTCTATTTAAAATACACCAGAGTATTTTGCTTACTGAAAATAGTAAATTTAATCATTTTAGCTTTCATTTAAAGCTAAAAAGAAAGCTCCAAGAACGCTTTTCATTTTTAAAAATTCATTTTAAACTGAAGTATTGAAACTGAGTGGAGGTGCCTATAATATTAATTTACATCCTAAGAATTCAATTTTTAAAGTTACCTTTCTTTTAGAGTAGCAATTTTCTAAGCAGGTATTCACATTTTTTTTTTTTTTTTGCCTCACATTGGCCTATTAGAATTCAGCTTGTTATGTGACGTGGGGGGGGGCATATAATATTAGTTGGCCATGCAAATACATACAACTTTAATGGGTAAAGAATGGATTGGCCAGGTAAAAGGAGAAAAAAAATTTTGTTAAAACATTTAGAATAGAGAAAAAGGATGAGTCTTTTTATTTTTATTTATTTATTTATTTTTGTCAATTTATTATGAAAATATTACAATTTTGAACTGAACCCTTTATTCAATTCATGGTAATAGATTGTTGTCCATTTTAAGGGAGATAACTTGTGTCAGGTAATTTTTACTTAATTTGTCCTTGTAACTCAGGCTTTCCCAACCTGGGCAGTTTTTCAACTGTTGAGTGGGTGATGAGCAACGGAACAGAAAATGGTGGGTGATATACCCTTCCACAACAGCATAGAGTAGTGTTGTTGGTAATGTTCTTTTATGGTGGAATTATAGCTCTGAGGTCTCTGAAGAATGGGACTGCATTTAAATAAATAGTATCATGATGATGACCTTCTGTTTTGCTAAAAGATTTTCAGGTAGATCATTTCACCTATTGACTTTTTACATCTGCCAATGGAAACTGGTCTTATGCATATATGGTAGTAATTTATCATTCTAAAATGCCAATATTTCTATCACTTTTTTTTTTTTTTTTTTTTTTTTTTTTTTTTAAAATCTGCCTGAAAGAAAGTCAGATATTGTTTACACTTCAGGTGTTCTTATATTTAATAGAATTTTCTTTCTTTCTTTCTATTATTATTATTATTTTTTTTTTTTTTTTTTTTTTTTTCAGGAAAAATCTAATTTTGAAGTTGGTAAAGGTTATGCATTAAGTTGTATCATTCAGTCAGGCTCTATTTTTCAGGTAAGTTACTTCAAGCAATATTTCTTTTTCTTTTGGGTTTAAAAAATGTTCTTTTCATAATCAGTTAAAAAAGATTTGCTTCAGATTTTTTTGTGAATGTATTTCTAGGTCTATCTATATTTTTGAGATATGAGGTATTGTAACTATTTACATTGTTCAGACTGCTGTCCTCATCTTTATTGCTATATTCAGAATGTTTTGGCTGTTGTACTCTTCAGTCTTCTTCAGCTGATATACATTGGAATCTCAAATTGAACCCTTTATTTAGTCCACGGGTAGATTGTTCTTGTGCCATGCCTCTTCTGGATATCTCGGTTTTCAGTTAATGATCAACTTGCCAAGTTTTTCAGCACTTCTGCTGTGTCCAGGTATTGAACTCATAAAATTCTGACATATATCACCTGGAGAAGTCTAGAGCATGCAACAGCCAAAACATTGTGAATATGACAATGAAGTTGAGGCAACAGTCTGAACGATGTAAATAGTATTTCTAGGTGTATGAAAATTGCTTTCCAAATAAAATAAGAAAAAAACAAACAACTTTGCAACAAAAGCAGATTTGCTTTATGGGGATAAGTAAAAATTGTCCTACTTTGCTTTAAACTCATTTTCATTTTGATTTTTAATTATCTGGAATTTTTCAGGATAAAAAGGAAACTGGCAAATTGCTTTCTAAATTGCTTCAATTCAAATCAGAAAAATCTTATGTCAACTGCATTTGGAATCAGAATATACCGTTATTGGTCACAAAGGTTTGTATAAGACTTGGACCATTTATGATTCATAAATTATTTTCTAAATAAATAGAAAATATTAATACATTTATAATTGATGGGGATGCTTTTTAAAAAATAAAAAAAAAAACTTTTTATTTTATTTTTTTAAATTGATATAGTTTGCTTCCAAAGTGTACATATATACTTGATATCAAACACTGTTTCAGATTTTATATATTCTACCAATGTGACTGCAGAACCACTGAACAAAGACAGATTAATAAGGAAATACTTTTCATCAACAAGTTCAAATCCATACTTAATTCATTGCATAAATAGATTCTACCAAATTCCCCTTACCATAAACGGCATATATAGTCAGTTACGCCCCTTGATTTTCATTTATTTTCATTGGTATGAATCATAATCATGGAGAGAGAAACATTTAAAACCTTTTTCAAAAGCTAAGCGAAACCGGTTAAAGTAAAAAAGTTTAAGAAAAAGGAAAAACATTCTTTTTCTAAGAAAAAACAGTGAAAATCCAATTGTAAGTAACAAAGTTTTAATTTTTTCTCTTTAAAACTTCATATATTATAAATAACACTATATTAAATATTAGGTGCCTTTTTTTTTCCAATTCTCATTTTATTTGTGTATATATATATATATATATATATATATATATATGATGAAAAGGCTTAAACACTAATATCCCATGGTTATAATTTATTACATTGGAATTGTAATTACGGTCCAATTCATCAGACCTCTTACTCTGTCCTGGACATTGAGTTCTACCTGGATTCTATCCTCTTGAAAATTTTTCTATATATATATATATATATATATATATATATATATATATGTGTGTGTGTGTCTGGGCATAAATTAATATTTGGGTAATATTCAATGGTGTTATTTTCTTTTTTTATGAGTGTAGGATTTTTAAAGTCAAAATTGTGGTTGAATTTATTTCTCTGTATGACTAGTATATTAGTTGTTTTTTGTGTGGTCTCTTTTCTGTTCATAGATGCGTTTTTAAATTTCTGCTTGTTTCTCCAAAATATTGCTACACTCATAAAAATAAAAATTAACTTAGAAGGAAAACTCTCGAGAGTGCCACCATTGAATATTATCCAAATATTAATCTACGCCCAGGCTTTTTCCCTATATCACCTTTCCTAACAGAATTACTACTTTCCAAAGCAAATGTACACAACTGTATTAAGAAATCAAAAGAAAATGGTTGAATCCGTCAACACAATAATAAAAACAATGTTTCCACACATGATAGTACCTGACATAATTTTCAGTTGACAATATGAATACAATAGCATTTTCTAAACTCTCCTAGTTGCTAAGGACATTTTGTTTTGTTGTTAATAGTTACTTTGTTCATTTTGTTTTTTGCCTTGAAAAAGTCCACATTGGATGAAACGCATTGGCTAATAATAGTTTTCCTTTTGTCTTTTATCTTTATAAGTATGTATACATGTATGTATGTATGAGGAGGAGGACTGACATTGAATATAAATTTAAAATAATGTTCTGAGACAGACACTTAGGGGGTGATAATAGCCATGTACAGAAATCTTGAAATAGACTATCTCTATGTTGAGGTATTTTTATTTTTTTTTTTTTTTGTTGTAAAAAAAAATACATATGCTCTGTTAAAATAAAATCATTGAGCTCTCTGTGGATCAGTTTTAATAATTAATATTACTAGGATCTACCTGGATTATATAACAACGAATCAATTACCTGTACTATATATGAACTGTACTTATGCATGTATGTGTATATATCTCTCTTTGTAATCTTTACTTAATCATAGCAATCAATAATTCTGATCTACCCTTCTTGAACATTTTCCACTAATTTTCTATTGCAAAAGTGAACCTTTCTATATTTAACTCTGATCCTTGAGTGCTGGCATGTCTCCTTTAGGTTTTATTCATTTTGAACAGGGAGTTTACTTTTGTTCCATTGCTCGTATACTTTTAAAATCTTTTTTTCTCAGTTGGTTTTCCAGAGGCCGAAAACTGATGAGTGTCTTGATTATGTTTGGCCAACATTGGAGAAATATCTTGCAGAAGGTTGGAATAATCTGAGTCCAGAGAGGCTTGAAGTTTTGTTTGTTTGCAAACTACAATGCCCTGTAAGTATTAATTATTTTGTACCTATTTACAAAGCTTAGTCTAGCCTTTCACACAACCACTTTAGAATGACATTTAGTGAGAACTGAACTTTACTGCAAGTTATTCTTGCTTTTCAACATCACTTTACCATGTGTTTCTTTCACAAGTGTAATGTTAATTGCTTGGTTAAGTATATTTCTTTATTCTAAGATATAATGCGTTACATTTGCAAAATTAGTCTCAGTGGTGAATTAGTAAATCATTAATAGTACCTTTTTATGTATAATTCTGTAAAGGTTTTTTTTTTTGTAATGAATTTTTCAGATTTTTATCTGTAAATCTTTGTAGTTCAAATAGTTGTTTTCATAACACACTTGTGTAAGTGGTTTAATCGTGAAGCATAAGAAGAATGGAAAACCTCTCACAATAGAGTTCAAGTGATTAAGAAAAAACTGAAATATATTTTATGTTCACATGACAAAAAAATGGTGACATATGAATCGGAAGATCATATTTTTATTGATTGTTGTATTTCTCAAAATATTCAAGTGTATTTTTGTGTATTTTATAAAGTGTCAGTTATTCAAATTAATTCTGACTTCATATAACTAATTATTCCCACTGCTGACAATACATTTTTTCTAATCAACGAACTGGGTACAATTTCAGTTCTGAATATAAAATATCATGATCTACACATTTATATAAATTCTTTGGCCAAACTAAATTAAGTCATAAGTTAATCCTGTGTTATGAGAACCTTCCATGAACAATTTTGAGGTTCAGTTTTTCACCCATATCCAGCTGTCATGCAGATCTTCTAAATAAATAAATGGCAAATTCTGTCTATATGCCTGTGTGTCTGAAACTCCTCTAAATCTGGCCACACTTGCTCTACATAGACATATTATACCTTTTTGGGATCAGGATGATACCAAGATTGAAAATCTGCTTTTCATCTGATGCTTGAACATCCAGCATTGGGATTTGTGTTCAGATAAAGAAGGAACAGTTAAAAATTCAAATTTTTAAATTAATGAAAAAATTTAGTGTTTTTTTTTTTTTTTTAATTTATATTGAGTTTAAAGTAACATAAAAGTTTGTGAATTTAAAAACATTTCTTTCACATTCAGTTTAAAATGTCTACCAAATTTTGTGAATTGAGGAAATCAATTTTATACCTCCAATATGCCTCGGAATCCGAGTTAAAGTGAGAAGTTTTGTGATGTGATGTTTTGAGGTTCCGCAAAGTTTGTAATTTGAAAAACTCAACTCAATTGAAGTTTTACAGAGTTTGTGATTTTGAAAAACTCCATTTTTAGCCAGAATTGGACTTACTGTCTGAATCAGAGTTAAAGTGAAGTTTTGAAATAAATGAGGAATTCAGTTATTTCTTCAAGATTATCATTTCTGTTTTCTAAGCTAGTCAATTATAAAAGATGCTTATTATCACCATCATCATAATTATCATCACCATGACTTTTGTAATGGGGAAGGAAAGGCAATGCAGAAGCCACACTCAAACATCTCCACAATGGCCTGTCAATGGCAGCCATCAGCAATTCTGTTACTGTCATAACTGTGTCCATTGTCTGACATTGTTTAACCAGTTTTTATGTTTGGCGTCCCTCTCCTACATCCACTTTCAAGAGTACCTTACATGATCGTCTTGTACAGGCTGTCGTGCTTTGTAATGTCCAAACCACGCCATTTTTCTCCATTTGATAGTGGCAAGAAGAGGTTCCTAGTTGCTTATTATGGTTAAATGCAAAAAGGAAAAGGTGATCAGTTTCATGCTCCACTGATTTTATTTATGCACATTTCCTTGTGTCTTATTTTTCTTGCTGCTCATTTAATCCAATTGAAACCACATTTATTGAGCTTTTTTTTCTTTATAATCATTCATAAATTAATTTACCATTAATACATTAAAATTTGTTGATTGAAGTGTTTTGGATCATTTTCTACCTTAAGTTTCTAACCTTTGAATGATTGAAGCTTAGGTAACATTTTTGATTTTTCTGAATAGAAACCTCCACTTGTAAACTTTTGAAAAAAATAATTCTTACTAACCTCATTTTGCTTGTACAAATCACAAATTGAAAGGATTTCTATATTTGTCTATAAAATGTTAATTTTCAAAATGAGATTTTTTTTTGCTGTATTTTAATGTACTATTGATTTTTAAACTTTTTATATTTCTAGAGACAAACATGAAACTTAAAATAGGAAATTACATGTTTGATGCATTGATAAAACATAGAAGAATATTTAAAAAAAACAAGTGTGGAAGCCTTTTGATTTGAAACGGAAAAGGTTTGTTTCACAGGTGAATTCAATGCCATTCACCTAATGCCATAATTTAACAATGAATGAACACAAAATATTAATAACAATCATTATTTTTCTTTTGTAAATCATGTGGAATTGATTTTTTCTTTCTCTTCAGGAAAAAATTGACAAATCATTCCTGAATAAAAACTGGAATTCTGAACACGTTGTTAACTCAAAAACACATGAAAAGCTATTGGCTGTTGTGAAGGTGAGTATTTGATTATTGTAATATATATTCCGACAATGGTTTTATTGATGGAATCAGTTTTATATATAATAAGTAGGAAGAGAAATACAACAAACTACATAGACATCCTATGTATCAAGATGCTATCCTGTCATATTCAGCTTTTTATAGCTTTTATATTTATTTTTATCATTATTGTTTGTAATTATCCTATGTTGAATTAGTAGTAATTTTTTTGGGACATATTGTCTGATTCTGGAGATTTTTTTTTTTGCAACATATTGTCTGTTGCTGGTAATTTTTTGAGACATGTCTGAACCTGAACATAAGTTTACCAGTTATGAAATTAGTGCACTTTCTATACATTTTAATAAATTTACTTTCTCTTTTAATCTAAATAGCATTGTTTAAGTTGAAATTCTGATTAGACACATTCTAATGCATTGTGTGCATTGTTTTGTAAAAATCACTCTCATGCTTGTAAAATCTTTTATTGAAATTTCTAGATGTCTTAGCAGTCTCTGTTTTTCTTTGTTACCAGGAATCAACCCGAGGTCATCCAGTAATACATGATTCCAATAGATTTCTAGTCAGAGAAGTTATCAACAGTGATAAAGTTTATGGATTTTGGAAGGAAATTGTTGGTGGGTGTCATTGTCTGATTTTCAGATGGATAAATAACAGATTCTTGGTGAATTTCATCAATTGTAAACTATTTTCACATCCAAATCTGCTATAAATTTAACATTTGGATGAATTAGATTTTACAACTCATCTTTTAAATATTTGGTAACTTGAGACTTGTGATTCTTTTTAAACTGACATTTTGTTGGTTGAGTAAATGAAGAAGATGCTAAATTCCAAAGCAACTTCAAAAGACCACCATATTCTCTTTCTCTCTCTCTCTCTCTTTCTGCCACTCACTCACTCACTCTCACACACACACTTAGATATTTTCTTTATTTTCCAGAGAAGTTATTCCATGAGGATTCTCACAAGAAACGACTTGGTATGTTTTTTCTGTCTGAGTTGTTGAAATCTGTCAAAGGACCCAAGCAGGTAAATCTTTGTCAAAATTCAATCATATTGGGAACTACTATTTCATTTATTATTTGAAACACTTGGTATCTTTTGTGATCATTTATTGTATATTTTGCTATTTAATAGTTCTCAATCTTTTGCTTTTTCCTTTCACTTTTTTCCTCTTAATTTTAAAAAAATATCATTTGCCACTTCCCACATTTTTTCACTTAATTTATTGAATTATGTTTGTCAAAAATTTTGTATTCCAACAGTTTAAATTTGCCAGAGTTTTTCTTTTTTAACCTATATTCTCTTGATGTCAGTTTAAATCAGTGCTTCTGAACCATTTTTAATTCAGGACACATTTTAAATTTTAATAAGGAAAAATTAGTCAAGACATTTGAAAATAGGAAAATAATAAAGAAGTGTCCTGAAGTAAGCATTTATTTTTAAGACATTACATTGTATATTTAAGTGGTAGGATTTTCATTTAAATGGATTTAAGAAGAATCTGCTATTTTTCTGTTTAGAGAGGCCGATAATGACTGATTTGAGTCCAAGGACTGCAAAAGGGAAAGGATTATCCACTCCTTAAAGATTAATGAATTTAACACCCAATTTAAAATATCAAGTGACAAAGACTTGATTTAGACATGGAAGCCATGTGCTTGGTGTCTCAAGCTTTTTAAAAATAGATTTTTTTTTTTTTTTTTTTTTTTTTTTTTTTTAAGATATAAAAATAATCAATAAAATTACTCCTCTGTTAACTTGGGGTACACCTGGCTACCTTTCAAGTCGCATTATTGCACCAGTTAAAAAACACTGGTTTAAACTGATACTGTCTTTTGTTTCCATATATTGTGATCATTTTGTTTAAAGTTTTTATTTTTTTCAAGCTGAAAATTTGGAAATTTTTCAACATTTCAGTGAAGTTTTCACTTTCTAAAATTATAGTTTTTAGTTTAAATATATGGAAAAAAGGCATAAACTGACACTTTGAAGATATCGGTTTAAATTACAATCTTTGCAGTTAAACATAAACTTTGATCTTGTCATAAGTGTCATGGAAATACCACTTCCACTTTTAATAATGAAAAAAGTTTTTTTTTTTTTTTTTATTATTCACTCCAAATTGTACATGAGTTTTGAACATAATGGATGTTAAATAAACCAGTTCTCTAGTCAAAGAAGAAGACGAATATTTATATTCTCTAATATAGTAAAACTCTTGCTTGGGGTACAAAATATAAAAATATTTTGACACACTTTGTATATAAATGTATTGGAGAAAGATAATTATACATTTTAGCTGATAAAAAGTAATTTAAATTGTAGAATGCTATTAGTAATTTTGGGGGAGTTGGGGAACTAATACTTATCAATAAGAAACTGCATAATGTTTATTGATGTTTTCTTTATTAAGGCATTCATGAGAAACACACTGCCATTTCCTCTTCAATGCAGTGAAGTTTTTTTTTTTTTTTTAAATATTTAATGCCAAGGCAAAAAAAATCTCAATTATAATATGAAGTGAAGAACTGGATTGAAATTGTTAAAGCATTCTTAATGAATGAAAGATACTTTTTCTCCCATAGAAATTTGTGATATATCAATATAGTTACTAATTCTTCATGCTGGATTGTAAGTTAACAATCAATAGATAGAAAATCCAATTTTTCTTTTTGATTGAATTTCAAACAATTATCAGAAGAAATGTTTTCACTCTGTTGAGTTTATTTATACTGTGCACATGCCCCCCAAACACATGTGTGAAGAGATGTACATTGATCATTTAAACATTCCATACCAAACAAATCTATCAATAGAACATAATGCCCCCCCCCATGTATTGATTAGTGGATATTTGGAGTTGTTGGAGTAAAATGATCTGGAACATCAACATCAAATACCCAGTATTCTAAGAAATAGGGCTCAAGATAAACCTTTCCAAAACTATGATCTGGAAATGGAATGAAAGCAGTGATGGAATGTTTCCCTAAATCCATCATAAATATTCAGGATGTGGATAAAGTCTTTTAATTTAAATCTTCTGTAAAAGGAGTTAAAAAAAGACTTGTATTCCACCCTTCAGTGGGTCAGAAAAAATGACAACTGCTACTAATAATTGATTCTCATTCAGTGAGTTTTTTTTTTTTAACTACCTGCATTTGTGAATGAGCTATGGTAATGTCTTTGCCACATTTTCTCTGCATTCATTGCAGATTTTTTTCTTTTTGTTTCTGTAGCAATTTTATGTTTTTCCAGCTGAGGTTGTGGCCTGATGCCAAACCATTTCCCCATTTCGCAACTGGGCTTGGGAACAGCTATATTAATGGTAAACTCTAGGTTTTATTTTATTTCTATTGTTTCTTTGTAAATACCTTTTTCTTATGGAGCTAAAAGTCCCAACTGCTCTCTAGTTACCCTGAGCTGGTAGGGAAAATAGCTTCATGTCTTTACAAAAGGCATTTGAACAAAATGAATGTAAGCAGCTTCAGACAAAACTTGAATTTGGTTTGCCAAATCGCTTTTATGTTTTGGTATCCCTCATCACTCTGCATTTTCTGATGCTAATATGTCCCTTATTTTGCCAACAATAAATTTACTTATGTATTTTCAGATGAAAATGTTTATGTCATCCCAGGTGTGTGAAATGCTTTATGTGGATCTTAAATTATCAGAGAAGAACATGTCCTCTGCTCAAATGGTGGTAAGTTGTACTTGAATGTAATTTGTGATTATATTACACACCTAATGTTATGTTCATGTTGTTTTTATTTCATTTTGTCAGTTATGGGAATGAACTTTCTTCATCACTTGAGATCCCCCATGATAATGTTTGATTACACTGGAACTCTATAAAATTAAACTTGATTTTAGGGCAGAGGGGAGACAATTGACTGAACTATATTTATGGACAAACTTTTATTTGCTCCGCCACTTGGATGGGAATAAGGGTATATTTCTCATCAGTGCTCAAAATTGGGGTTCAAGCTCAAGTAATGTTGGAACTGTAAACATTGATATATTCCCCCCCTCTCCAAGATAGGCAGACTTCCCTTATTTGGTCGATTGTCACAGCACATAATCCAATGCCAAATGAAGCTTAATATCTATACCTTTTTTTTATTGTTTTATTTTTCTTAAATAAGGCATTAAAAAAAATGAAAAAAACATGACAACAATATTGAAACAGGCAATATGTACAAATGGACAATTCCTATTAGTTAATTATCCACAAAATTATCTTGAGGATAAATTCCTGAATGAGTTTGATTTTTGTTATTCTTTCCTTATCCTAGATTATTAGTAAATAATTAAGGCCTTGTCTTGTGTTTGTGAATAGTTGCATATTTCCCACCAGTCTAGTATATGTTTGAGATGTAGAAGTTATGATTTACCTGGCAAGCTCTCCTCCTTTCAAAGTTTTTGTGCTACACAATCCTAAAAGTTTTGGTACTTGGTAAACTACAATGACAGAAGTTATGAGTTTCATCACCTGCGTTGGTATCTAGGTGTGTGGTAAACCCACTGAGCTTGGAGACTTTTAGTCTTCTATAAATAAGACATCAGAGAATGATGGGATACCCTGACAAGAGCTTGGAGTCCCATCTAAGAGAAGATAAATTCATATATAAAACCTGAAGTGCATTTGGTTTCTGGTCGTCCTAACCTTTGTTGGGTCATGAGTGTTAGAGTTGATTGTTCTGAAAAGTGTGTTTAGCCTTGTGCAAATCTTTATCCACTCTAAACAAATTCATGCACAGGAACCTCTTGGAACAGCATAAGGACTTTTGACCTGTGGTACTGGGAGTGTAGCAGACTCCTCCATGCCAAAATGAATCCCATATGACAATCTGGTGCTGAACAAGCGCCCCCCCACCTACTTCATGAAAGCTGAGAAAAGTGGTGTGAAAGATGTACTTAAAAAGTTTAACACTGACACTAATAGATGAGAAGATCTTGCATCAGATAGTGGAGTGAAGGAAACTGATTGCAACTGGTACTAAAGAATTTGAAAACTATCAAATTGCATATGCTGAATTGAAATGAGGTGAAAGATGTTAGCATGAGAAGTGAAAGAAAGAATCTGTGCAATCAATGTTGCTGTGTTTGCTTTTCAAAGGTAGGCTTTATTATCCACAAATGATGTCATAGAAACACCACTGTCTATTAATAAGGCATCTAGCTTGATTTCTCTTGTAACCTCAGCAACAAAATGTGCAGGTTAGCTGGTGGACTCGTTTGGCATTATAAATATCATCACCCAGAAAACTGACCTGCAGTTAATGTAGCGTGACTTTGCAGGGCTAATGAGTCCCAACGGACGTTTTCAGAGACAAAATATTCAAACATAAGCATGTTCTAAATTTTGATTGAGTCTATGAAGTGGACTTTGGTACGCACACATTTCTGTATTTAATTGGAAAGCTGAAACGTAAGTCTGTTAAGGCCCTGTAATTATCTATAATTTTGAGAAAAGTTTTTTCCGTCCAAAGAGCAGTTCATCTCCCTGAAGAAGGCTGTAAAATAGATATGCTGGAAAAATAGCACATACATATTGTAATAAGTTAAATCTTTCTCAGCAGTCTCAAGGGAAATTATTATTGAATAAAACATCAGGAGTTAACTCCCTTGAATTTAAAGGATTTATATTACTGAAGTAATTTTTTACTTTTACTTCAATGATAAAATTAAAATGTAAAGTATAACTGCTTTGAAAATTAATAAATAAAAGATATCTAATTTAACTCTTCAGAGTTTGGTATGTACCTATGACAGTTTCTCTAAACTACATTATGCATACGAATGGGCAATTGATCTTGACTAAACAGGACAAGACTGAACAGGAGCTGTACTTCTGTGTACTGAATAAAGTTCCTTTCTCTAAAAATGTTACATTGAATCTAATGTTTATGTATGTGTTCTCGTTTAATTAATCAGAAAATGTTTGTTTCTTTCAGATTGATAGCCTTGAGACTTTACTGGAAAGTGTCAAAGATGATGATCTCCATCTATCTTTGCTTCAGTCTCTGCTGACTCCTGTGTCTATTATCAAAACATTCAATGCTGAACTTGGCCTCTTTCTTTCTGCCATATTGCCACATGTAAGTTCAATATTGAACTTCCACATTGTTTTTGTCACTGTCACAAAATCCATAATGTACCTTTCTTCATGTAACATTGTCAGGTTAAAAATTGAAATTCTCAGTCAGTAGAACCATTTGGTATTAAAACAGAAAAGTGTTTGTTAAATTAGTAATGTTTGCAAATTAAACCTCTTTATCTAGAATGATGTCCTCTGCCATTTTGGTTGGATTAGGTTAATGTTTATAATTAAAAATGTTAATTTATTTACATGTTTGAGTAAGAAATATTTTTACTAATTTTATTTTATTTACTTGAATTTTTCTGTCTCTATTCAAACTATTTTTTTTCCAAAAGAACAAATGAAAAATAATGTCTGATTGTTGCATTGTTTGATTTCTTTAAAGCTAACTGCTGGATCTGTAGAATTATTTGGCAAAGAAATTATGTCAACTGTAAAGGGTAAAACTTTATTTGGGTAAGTTAATAAATATTGATTGCATTTTTTTTTTTTTTTTTGTTTTGTGATCATAAAATAAGGACAGTGTAATGTCAATTTCTCTTCTCTGCTGGACTGAATCATTATTTTAAATTCCAAGGGTTTAATGGTCAAAGCTGTTTAAATATGAATGAGGACCAGAAAGAGGATTGATTTTTATTATTTATTTATTTTTATTTTTTTTACAGTTTATCAACCCTTTCTTGGTTATTTAAAACTGAAACATATTTAGGATTGTAGGAGGTTGTTTACATAGTCGCATGTTCCCCAGTGTTCTTGAAAAGTCCTGGAAAATTGGCAGAGCATTTTCTGGGGCTTGAAAATACCTGAGAAAAAACACCAATACTCCAAAAGCTCCTTGAAAAGTCTTAGAATTTTCTAAATTTGGCTGCCCACCCATCCTTTTTCTCAATTCATGAAAGTCAAAATGCCAAATACTAGAAATCTTTTTTTTTTTTTTTTTTTTTTTTTAACAAGCTAAAATGTTTCTTTAGTTGTCAGTAAAATTATGCTGGTTTTAACACTAACTTTAGTGGTGGAATATGATATTTGGTTAGATTTTGGGAAATGGGATGAGATGAGAACTTTTCAGCACACTTTTCTGTACTTCTTTTACAATAAAGCATGCACACACACACACACACAAAATGAATTATCGTAGCCGTCTCAATGCTATGTAGCATTAAAGTGTTGTGTCATGTGTGGAAACAAGATGTCTACAGGAATGTCTGTTAATGTTCCAATATGGTAATTGTAAACAAGGCAGTATCTAATGAAATAACAGTAACAGGTAAAGAATCCTTACAGTGAGTGCACTTTTTTGCATCAACTACAAGGGTATACCAGTGATAAAACCTTTAAGACATCGATTTTTGAGTAAATAGCAGGGAGAAATTGATTCATGCCTTTTTCATGAATGCTATTGGCAAGTGATCATGTGCAGTCACAATTTGAATTTGAACTTAATTTACTGATTTCATCTTCCATGAATATTCAACTGTTTCACTGTCTGTGAAGGTTCACTAATTTTTCATCTTTATACACACTTTATTCTGAATTTAAACATTTTTTTTTAAAGTAAATATTTACTTTTATAGAATCATTTAATTTTTAGCCACTAAGAATATCTGAAATATATCACTTTTAAATGTAAAAAAGATTTGACACTGATAATCCAACCTTGATTAGTGTTCTATATACGTTGTTAAAAAAAATTCTGTGCTATTGTATGATTATGACATAGCAGAAATAGAGAGATGAGCTTGATAGGCAATTTTGAACACAAAAGGAATGGGATAAATATTGCCATATTATTAATGTGTGTGGGCAGTAAACATGGTTTGTAAAGGTCCTGGAGACTTTGAAAAGTATGAGTAAATTGACAGGGTCTTTTCCAGGGCTTGAAAAATCCTGGAAGAATGGAAATAGCACAAAAGCTCCTGAAAAAGTCATGGAATTTTCTAAATTGGGCTGTCCATACATCCTTTTTCTCAATTCATGAAAGTCAAAAATGTCAAATCCCACAATCTATCTTTTACAAACTAAAATTTCCTTAAGAAAATTTTTTTTTTGTTTTTTTTAGTTGTCAGCAATATTTGGCAATTATTGCAAACAGTGGTTTGTTTCCTTGATTAGAATAAGTTCATGACCTTGTAGTTACTTCTGTATTTTCTCGTCTAGGTGACGAGAAAGAAAGGGAGAAAAATATGAAAGTGTGTCTTTTAGCTGCTACCCTCACTCATCAAGAAAAGGAGAAAAGCAAAAATAAAAGATGTCAGATGTCAAATATAAATTAATTCACATTCATTGAATTTGTAGTTGAAAGGAAAATGATAAATTATTTTACAGCAATAAAATACATTTTAGTAGGATCTTGAAAAAATTATCAGTGTTTTTTTTAAAATTTGAACAATTGAAAAAATTTTATCACATGTCAATTTTAAAAGTAAAAATTCCTTTTGATCTCTAGTCAGCTCGTTCATGCTAAAAAAAAAATTGTGTTCTAGGTCAATGTGTATCTTTGTGTAAATTACATTTGTCTAAATTGTTGCCAAAAGTAACAAATTTGACTCAAGATGTAGTCAGGAAGGATGATAGAATAGAAAATGGGTCTTTGAAAAAAAAACCAAAAAAAAAAACCACATTATCATGTTTTACATAATTGATGAGATGATGACAGATGGATTTTGTTCTATGGAGACTTTATTTGTAAAACATAATTTAAGAAAATGACATGAGTGCCCTTTTTTTTTTTTTTTTTTATATAATTTTTAAGTACTCTGTAGTCTCAAAAAAAGTTGGAAAATATTCTCCGTAATCTAATTTTAGGAATATTGACTTTTAATGTACTATAGTCATTGTTCTTATTTTCTGATAACGTTGTGTATGGTCAACCATTATTTCAAAAATGGGCATGTTCATTTTTTTATATGCATAAAAAAAAATTTTTAATAATTTTAAAAATCTTTGGGCAAAATGATTTGTATTAAATGTTTTAATTTTGGATTAGTAAGTATAGTTTTCACAATATGACCTAATTAGTTGAAATTAATGTAGAATTTTAAGATTTAAAAAAAATTTTGATGATAAATTGGTATAAATTAAAAAGAAAATGAAAACAATTCTTAATTCTTGTAAAAACTCATTATTAATTGAAAAAAAATTTTTTCTTAATACAATAGTATCCTTGATAAATCTTATTTATAAAAGCAATTAAAAACTTTTCTAATTAAATAATGTCATTTTTATTGCATTTTTTATTTTACGATTCTGAGCAGATTTTCAGGAAATGAGTAGTAGTTTAAAAAAAAAAAATTGATTTAAATTCTCCAAGGAATCTTGCTATTAATAAAAACAATTTTGCAATGAAAATTTAATTTCTTGAAATTTTATGAAATTAAGTAAAGGAGAGGGGCGGTAACATATGTAAAAAAAAAAAAAAAAAAAAAAAAAAAAAAAAATTTACCAAGATTTTCTAAAACAAAAAATTCAAAAATGCTTTTGTTCATCTACGTAAATAAAGTGCAGTGTACGTATGCCGAACCCTCTGTTTTCTGATCTCGGAAAATCATAAACAACCTGACGTAACCGGTAGTAATTACTGTTATTACATGCGGTTAAGAAAATTAAATGATTCATTTAAAGTTAAATTTAAATATTGAACAGAGTGAAAGGTTTAAAAAAACAATTCTTTATTAATTGTTTAACTTTTCATCGCAATTGCAATTGTCTAATTAAAACTTAAGCATGGCACAGTATGTTGGTCACTTATTTTTATTTATTTATTTCTAGCAATGCTGACTGTGATGTCTTTGAATTATTACATAGTTTGGGTTCCCTAATGTCTTTTAAGAGTGACTTTTTGTGAAGAGATCATAAAGAATGATGATTTTAAAAGAAAATAAAAATTGTGTGCTAAATAAATGTAAACAAACTACGGAGATTAGTTGTGTGCAGAAAGAAAGATTATACTTAATTAAGGTGTTGAATAAAGATAAAATAATTTTATTATTTCTAAATTCTTTTATAAATTTTACATACATAGGATGCTGAAAGTAAAAAGCCAACTGCTAGAGATAGCCTGCAAGTCCACTTGAAGGGTGACTTCTGGGTTTGTTTGTGAACAAGTCCTGGAAAAAAAAAGCACTAAAACACTAATCATAAACATTACATAGACTGCTAACACACACAAAAAAAATTGTAACCAAAATTTCAAACATGCTAGAAAGAATTAAAAAATTTAATAAAATAATAAAAGAAATACTTTAGTCGTTCCTCTTAATAACAACATAAAACATTTTGCCGATAAAACTTTTTGGTCTTTTTTCATCATACCATGCAGTTTTTTCAGTAAAAAGAAAAGTGGAGGTATCTACTTTTATTGCTTGGCTTTATATATTAAAATTTTAATCTGGTAACCCTGTCCCTTTTGTATTTCTGCCATAGATAGCTAGAAAATGTACAAATATATGAACGACTCCTAGACATTTGGCCAGATGTCTTCAAATTTGTGAATTTAACAAAAAAAACCCCAGAAAAATGTTCCTAGACCAAGCCCTTCTCTGCAATGGTGTCACACATGAATGACGTTTTATTTCCAGAGAAACTGCAGATTTTTGTGTCTGTTTTGAAAGACATTGAACCGTTTCTGATAAAATATCAGTGATAAACCATTGCTTCCTCTTTTTTGCAAATATGATATTTTTGAAGTTCATTAAAAAGATAATTTTGTTTTCCAAACTGAATTTGTAAGAATTTTGTCAAACCCAAACATGCTGCAAAGATTGAGTGTGAAATTCTGCCAAATAGAGCTATGCAAAATTTATCCAAAAAGGAAATGTATCAACAAAAGATCTGTTTGCATCTTGTAAGGTCATTTGCATGGCTGAACTCTGGATCCATTTCTGAAAAAAAAATCTGACATAGAAGACATTCCAAAAAGATGTTTTTCCCACATTATGGACAGAAAACAAGTATGCAAGTCAGATTGTGATGACATCATCAGTTAGTACAAAGAGTTTGAGGAGGAGGCTGCTGGAAATATTGCTTTCAAGAATTTCAGCAAGAATGAAGACCATCCTGCACACTTTGTTCTAGCAACAAAGAATATCAAAAACTGTGTAAAAGACTCCGTGAAGAGAGGCTTCTCAGTCAATAAGGAAATTTCCACTGACAATATGAAACAGCACATTATCACAGACTATTTGGCCTCAGTTTGAGGTGCTGGGGAAGTTCTTCTCTGCAGTGCTTCCAATGCTAGAACAGTATACGACCAATAAATTGAGGCTGAGAAGAAAAAAGGCAGGAAGAAGCAGCTGGGCAAAAATGGAAATCCATTCTTAGGGAAATTGAAGAACTGAAGGCCAAAAAGCACAAGCTTGAAAGTTGCACACAAGATTTGCTCAAGTCAGCTGACAGCTATGCGAAGAAAGCTGAACTTCACACTTATTGCAAAGACCAATGCCATGTGAAGATCTGCAAAGGACAAATCCATTGAGATATCCAAACTGGAAGAGGAGCTGAATGCTAAACTAGATGAACTGAAAAAATGTTAACATCATTGTGTTCTATGCCATGTGCAGTAAAAGCCATTAGTAGGTCTAGCTAAAATGTGTAAACTTTTTTGTGAAAATTTCTATTTGTGGTTCTGTTCATTAAAGCCATTATACTTCACAGGAAATGTGCAGCAGTTAAGAATTTTTGTGACATTCACAAACCATGAGTTGTTTAGAGAGTGGAAATATATAGCAGTAATAATTAAATTGTGTCATTCAAAATTTTCAGGTGTAGTAGAAACTTGTGTAGAATGCTACATAACCAGGTCTTTGATTTCATCACTGCTTTCAACTGATCCATACGATATGAATTATTGGAATCAGTTGTAAATTATTAAAAGATGAAACACAAAGTTTGTGTTTTGGAAATTGATGGCCATTCACTTTGTGTGTGCACCAGTTTCAGTCCTTGGAAATAGTTAACATAGTCCTGGAAAAGTCATTGAATTTTTTTTTATACAGATCTGTGAGATCCCTGAGTAAATTTTATATGTAGGCAATAACATATTAAAAAGTACTGAGATTTAACAAGATGATATTGATCAGTGTTGTCTCTTTTGGAGCTGATCAAATATCACTTGCTATATCACTGTGTGATCATACTTATTATAAAACCCAGGTTGTGTGTGTGTGTCTGTTCGTTTATATATTGGATAGGATTTCCTACATTTTTCAACCGATTTCAGCAAAACTTCACTTTTTTTTTTTTGGCAGGTAGTGTTTCTTATTGTCTTGCACACTTTTTTCTTTATTTTTACATTCAGAATGCTTTAAAAATTCCATTTACAAGACAATTGTTTATAATAAAATTCTATTCAATTGGTAGACTCATAACGATTGAAAACAAAGTTTTTGTTTGAGTTTGGGTTTGACCAATTCGTAAAAAAAAAAAAAAAATGAAACTAATTAAGACATGCGTGTCCGTCAACCTTAAACAATAATCTTTGTCAATTTTATTTTTCAGTCTTTATGATGGTCGATACTTGATCTATCTCTTACTGTTACATCCCTGGGCAACACCGGGCTCTACTGCTAGTATTGTATATTTGTTTATTTTCATACTTTTATTGTTATCTATTTTAGAAAGTTAACTTTATTAAATTTATTCTGTAAAAATTCTATCAGAAATTAGGTTACATTGCTGTAGGCATTGAAATATCAAAGGCTTGTGTTTTATAAAAAACAGCATTTATTTTACATGTATAAATAATATTTCATATTATTTGTGCTATTTTAGGATCAAGGTAGATGGTGAGAACCTATTTTTGCGAAAATGGGCAGTTGGTCAACTTTTTCATTTGTTGCATCATCCTGGAAATGTTACAGAAATGGTCAAGTGGCAGGGTGCCGTTTTGCAGTTTGTGTTCCGACATGCCTACTTTACATTGTTGAAACCATCGGATATATTACCTCATGTAAGTTCTGAATTTCCAAAGGTTTTTTTTTATTTTGTGCAATATTTTGGACATAAAATAGTTTTAATGTTTTCTTTTAGGCCAGTTTGTATAAATGTCTATAAGAGATGCTTAATATTCAGTCATTGAGTGACTCTGATATTGAGGAAATGTGAAGAAGAAAGGGAAAAGTATTAAGTGAGATATTTTTGTTTTTTTATTGAAGACCTGGATGCATCATGAAGAAAATCAAAGACTATATTATCCAAAATATTGTGTTTAAGAACCATGAAGATGATTTCTGAATATGTGAAATAATGAAATCATGCAAATTCTGTGTGTGTGTGTGTGTGTTGACAACAAAATTTATACATTATCTTATGTCTCTCCTCTTGTCTCATCCTTTGCCTGTGTTTTTGCATTCTCTCCCTTATCCCACTAATTGGACCTATGGAAATTCTACAGGTGTAGATAAGGAGGATTATCCATTATCTCATGCCTCTGCTCTTCTCTCATCTTTTACCTGTATCTTCTCATTCTCTCTCTTAGTCATGTTTTTATCTTAATCATGTTTTTATCTTAAAGTTATACAAACATGATTTAGTTTCAAAAAATAGGAAATGATTAAATATTTTTTTACTTGATCATCAAATTTCTCTTTATAAAGAATTTTAATGTATTGCATGTTTTTATCTCTTTCATTCTTTCTATACCTGCTCTTCAATTTTTTGCTCTTCAGATCCTGGCATCAAGTCTGACTTTTCTTTTCTCCAATTGCTATCCTTCCGCCTCTCTGTGTGTGTGTGTGTGTGTGTGTTTCTTTTCCTCTGGATTTCTTACCTCCTACTTTTGCTCCTCCTCCTTTACTATCACTATTCCTCTCTCCTCCCATGATTTTCTCAATTACTTCCTGATTATTGTTGTTGTTATTATTATTATTATTTATGTTTGTTAGTCCTAAGGCTTAACTGATTCTAGCTTAGAATTATTTGATTCAATGACAGGATATCTTAATGAGAATAGATTCATTATTTAGGAATTGTAGGAAACACTATAGCTAAGGAAGTAGAATAAACAAAAAAATTAATTTTCTGTGTCTTCATTTTAATTAACAAAATTTTTTATGGTTTTCTACCTGAAAATTAAATTTTGAAATTTATTTCTAATTGCAGTGTGAAGAAATTGGTGCTGCTTTTCCTGTTCAATTGGTGCAATTCTGCCAGAATATGTTTACCAAATGTTTCTTCAAGGTTATTACTCAAAAGACATGTAAGCAAATCATTTCTTCTTTCAAAAAAATCTCAATAAACTCATAGTTTCTCTCTATATTTCTGAGATGGGGTATTGTAATTATTTACATTGTTTGAACTGTTGTCCTCATCTTTGTCATATTCATGACATTTTGGCTATTGTACGCTCTGGCCTTCTTCCTCACGTGATTGGAATTTTGAGCTGAACTCTTTATTTCATCCACTAGGGCATATTATTCTATTTCCATGTGCCATGCCTCTTTCAGATGTCTCGGTTATCTCCTCCTAACTCAACTCTCTTGGTTCACACCAGATATTGAACTCACAACTATTTGGGTCCCCGAGGAAACATGGCACAGAGGATAAAAGCATAGGTTGGATCCAGTGACTTGGCCTCAAAAGTTTAAGTTCAATACTTGGCTACTGCAGTGGTCAGCAAAAACTTGGGGAGATGAGTTTAAGGAAGATAATTGAGACATCTGGAAGAGGCATGGCACATGGAACTAGAACAATCTGGCTCTTTATTGAATAAATCAAGCATACACACTGACAAAATCATTTGGTTTATTGGAGTTTCTCATAGTTGTCTTTACCTTCTTGAGCATCAGAATCCTGGACTAATAATCACTGCTACCATTTTATGAGGTTCTGAGATGACAGCCTCCTTTGCAATGTATGTTCTTCAGCTATATGCTTAGTTGTGCAATTCTTAAAAGTAATCAAATATTCCTGAAATGGTTTTAATAAAATTGGATTATCATCCACAAAAGTGGGTTAAAAATTGAGTATTTCTAAAAATGCCACTAAATTACGTGCATGTGCAAATTGATTCTTAGATGTTAGTTTATTTTCTTTTTGTCTTTCAGCTAAAACCAAGAAAGATGCCAATATGTTAACTGCTCATCAACTCTTTTCTTATGTTGAGGTAAAAATTTATTTATCAGTTTTGTTCTTTGTTTACTTTGTTCCATTTATTTCCACTAATTTCCTAAAAGAATTATTAAACAATTCTAAGAAAAAATAATGACTTCCTGGTTACAATGGAAAATGATTGTAACAGATTTTTTGTTGTTGTTTTTGCTGCTATTGCCAAGGTAGGTTAATTTGTTTTTTTGATTTTTAAATTGAAAGGCTTAAATAAATTCATCCAATTACTCTTGTGAAAAAAAGTAGGCTTGTCTCCGACAAAACCCTCATGAATTTGGGGCTGAAACCTTATAACTGTGGGTGCTCCAGCAGTACATCATGTTGTTACCAATTCCATGTGGGGTAGCCATTGCCTTCATCTGAGAGATTTTTAATCTTGTTGACAATAATTCAAGTTTGATCAAGTATTCTAAGACAGAGCTGACAATAAAACTTTGGTATTTGACTTTGATACACCTTTTTCTGGATTATGTTGATTTGTCCATTTGATATTGTCTTCAAAAGGTATGATTAATTTAAAGAATACTTCTTTGATCCTTGTTTTGAATCAACTGACCACATCACACTGTTAAGATGCTGGGCAAGTTTTATGATCTTAGTTGGAAAGGCAAGATGACATTCCATATTAACTGTGATATTTCAGTCTCTGCAGCTATTAAATATATGATTTGGACTTATTTACACTAAAGGTTTAATTTTTATATTTGCTTTAAACAACAAAAAGAGTTGTTTTGAATAATTGAATTTCTTTTGTGTTGTTTCATTGGTTACTACAAAGAGATGTTCTTATGGATCTTGCACATTACCAAGACACTTGTATTGTCTTAAATACTTTCTCTTTTTTTTTTTTTTTTTTCAGTCACTGATAAAAAACAAGGAAACTGTGAAACCATTAAAAGATTTGGATGAAGAGGTAAAATATTGACATGTTTGTTTTTCTTGAGTTTTTATGAATGATTTTTATTGTTTATAAAAATATATCCAAGGATAATTGTTGTAATGTTCGTTTTTATAAAAGTTCAGAAATTGTGAACATTTTATTCTGTCTTGTAGGATGGATTGGGGTTGTGTGTACATTTCACTTGTCGACTTCTTTTTTTTTTTTTTTTTTACAATGCCTGTGCGTCTTTTAGTTTTATCAGTGTATTACTGATCCGATATTAATATACACTTCATTGTAACTTGTCTATTTAATTCATCTTTTAAAAATATCTGTATTCTTATTTTACTATTTAAATTAATTTAAAAAAAAATATATTATGCTTTATGTAAAAATTATAAGATTGTAACATTTGTAAGATGATTTCAAAATCTATATCTAAAAATGAACTACTTTTTAAAATTTTAGGAGATGCTTTGGATTTTTAAGTTATTACATTTTCATTTTCTTTTCATTGAAAATAAATGTCAAAATATTATTTTTTAAGTTTGTTTTTTTTTTTTTTTTTTTTTTCATTTTTTTGAATTTTCAAATAAATCGCTGAATATAAACAGTAAATATTTGTTAAAATGCTCAAAATTTGTTTTCCCCATTGGAGTTTAGTTCATTGAAAAGAAAAACAAATATGACAGAACTGAATTTCTATTTATTCATTAATTTTAGACAATTGCTGCTTTGCTGAAGACAAAGAAGATGATGCAAAAGTTGGAATCAAAAGTAAGAATTTGAACTTACTTTAAATTAAACAAATTTTTTGCTTTTCTTTGCTATAAATAAAAAAAAATACCTAATAGCATTTTTAAATGCTTAGAAAAAATGGAAATAAAATAATTTTTTATAACTTTTTCTGATAAAAATTATAAAAAAAATACAAACTATTTTCTCTTTTAGAATTCTTTAAATATCCCAAATTTTTGGGATCCAAATTGATCCACCAAAAAATGCTAATTTGAAATGACAACTACTGGTTAATGTAAAAAGTTAAATAAAAATAAAACCTGCTGATATGATAGTTGCATTTTTTTGGCTAATCTATTATATAAAAGTGAAATCCATTTGTTTAATGAAATCATTTTTCTAATTTTTTAGATTTAACAAAAACTCCTTTAACTGAAGATTTTTCTTTTTTTACAAATTGTCAAATGATGAATTATCAATAATACATCCTTGACTTTTGTCAAATTGAATATTTTTTTTAATAACACCAGATCATGTTTATCTATTGAATGAATGACTGAGACAAACAGTTTATAGATTGAACATTATAGTGACATGATGTATTTTTGTGTTCCTCCAATAACTTATAATGAAGGTAGACAAAAATAGTCTAATTTTTCTTAGAACTGCTTTAACTTGGATTTAAATTTCCAGTCAAATTGGATTTCATAATTTTTAAAAAAAAAAAAAAAAAAACCTGTCTCTCCACAGTTTCCTTTTCTTTATTATCTGTAAATTATGAATTTATGGAAAAGATAGAGAAATGTTTGACTACTATCTTCTCCAGTTTTGAATTCAGAAACTGGCTGTCAACTGAGGCTCAAGAGCCCAGTTTACTATAAATGGGATTGGTTTCATGTGATTTAACTGATAGTCGGGGGAGAAAAGATGGATTGATGCTTTTCTTAAGTGTATTAGTTTAAAAAAAGAAGAATAACAAGCTCAGCTGGAATTTGAACAAAACTTGATAAAAAGAAGAGAGTTTAAATTATATGATTCCAGGTTGATTAACTTCTAATTCCTGTTGCTTCCCTTAATAAGAAAACAAGGGGAATAAGCAGGAAAGAATGCTTGACTTGTCTGCATTCCTCTTCATTAGCCATGGTGGCATACCATTGATGGTACTATTACTACTAATAATAATTGATCTTAGTGAAATTTAGCATTTACAAATAATGATAATAATAATAATATTGATAGTGTGTTACTTATGTTGTATATCCACACCTCAATTCAGATATTCTAATGAAAAACTGTCTTTTTTTTTTTTTTTTTTTGATATAACAGAAAAATGTCCAGGAATCAAGCAAAGATATAAGTGCTTTTGAACTTTTACTGATTTACCTGGCTTTGCAGATATTCTGTGACCCTCAGAACTGTTTGGATGTCATTGAGGTATGTAACTAAATTCTTGTTTGTACCTACCTACTTATGGTGTAAGTTGTCTCATAAAAGATTGTATAGAACACATTTAGATATATCAGTTTCCTTGTACTCTCCTACTCTTGATTTTGTCAGAAGGAAAAAAAATAATTAAAAAAAAAAAAGTTTTCTGTCATAAAATATACCTGGGAGTGCAGAAAAGTTTTCTGCCTACCCCATTTCTGAAAATCTAAGTAAATGAATAAATATTAGAATTTATTTTAAAATTCCTTTTTGGTTGGACCGAGAGCTTTTTAGCAAACTCATTAGATTAAATGAATAGATTTGCAAAAAATACTGTTACAAATAGTCAGGACTAATGCTTTCAAACCAAAACTACCCTATTTTAATCATCTTAATGAACCTTTTTTGCCTTCCATCAGTGTGGTTGAAGCTAACCTCCAGGAGAGTGACTTCTCAAGCGACCATTTTCCAATGATATGAAGTGGAAAGATTATATTGAATCAATTGCTTGGTTTGCTGCTAGGAAAGTTAGTTCATGGTGTCATGCTAGACAATTTTTCTCACCAGTGTCTCTTAAATATTTTAAGTCTACCATTCTTTCTTGCATTGACTATTGCTGCTGCATCTGGTCTGGTGCTACTGATATACATTTAGAGATTCTTTATAAAATCAAAGAAGAATCTGCAATTTTATTGGTCCTGACCTCACATCTCAGGTTCAGTCACTTTCCCACTGCCATAATGTAGCTTCCCTCTTTCTTTTCTATAAATATTTTAATTGTAATTGTTCTGATGAGATTTCCACTATGGTACCTAGACTTTATGAATTTAAGCACAGTACTATATTGGTGACATGATCTCATTTCACAGTTGAAATGGCAAGATGTAAGTTCTATGCTAAGTTTCTTCTCTTACACTTCTCACTTGTGGAGCTCTCTTCCAACTTCTTGCTTCCCAGTTAACTTTGCTTTTAAATTTTTGAAAATCAATGTCAATCTTATTTTCTGTATTCTTAATTCCTGTTCTTTTATTGTTTTCTCTCTTTAATAACATTTCTTTTTCTCTGATATTCACTCACTAACCCCCTTGGATCTTAGTGGCTTTATTACCTTGGTTGGGGTGAAATGATTAAAAAGAAAAAAAGACTAGTAAAAAAAACAAAACAAACAATTCAAGAGTATTACTACAATCAAATAGCCAGGAGATCAGCTAAACACATTGTAAATGAAAACAATTCTCAATTAAAAAACAATGGAATTCATTGATGAAAATATTTCATCATAAAATCTGAAAACTTTGTTACAGTTGGTTGTGAAAAATGAACTGTGACACATCTGCAGTACAATAGTTGCAGGTATTTGGTACATCAATATAGTGCTGCACAAATAAATGAGATTTCCTTAATCATTAGCAAAGGTAATTGCCTGGGCTAGTGGAGGTAGTCAGCTGTGATGTGGCTTTCCTCAGTGACCACCTCTGTCTCCACAATCCACTTGTATAAGGATCTTATTTCTGTCTTTCCTCTATAATCTGTGCTCTTTTGGACCAAAGACAAATGCTGTCTGGAATACTCATGCTGGTAAAAATTTTCAACTGAAATGTTGTGCAGGAAGTTGAATGAAGATGGAACAAAATAATTTTGCTCAGAGAAAATTACTTGAAAAATAAAAATTTCCATTCTAAATAGGCATGCCATAATGGAGGAGAAAGTTGAAGGAAATAATTTGATCATGTTTGGTGTGCAGGTCTACCCACATTACATTGATAGCTTATTCTGTTCTTTTCTCTTACAGCTGCTGTGAAGTGAGTCACAGTTTCAGGCAGTAACATGTAATGGAGAGGAAGAGTCTTGGAATATTTTAATCTAGTACCGAGATTTTATGTTTCATTATTACTAGTTTTTTGGATGTTTTCAATTCTGCACTGGAAATTATTATGATATAGAGTGGAATGCATATGTATAAAATGTTTAGATTTAAGTTTGGTTTGTGAAAAGTATTATCAGGCAAACGATATGAATGAACTCTTCAACAGGATTGAGCCAAATAAAATAATTAAATTTCTTAAGGAAACCAAGACAAAAATTTAAGCAATAACTAATCTTGACAAATAAATAAATGAAGAAAATAAAATAATCTCCAAATGAACTTCATGTCAAAATCATTAACTTTAAATAAACTCCTTTATGAAGACAATCACTTTCAGCTGAATGACACTAAAATATTATTTACAAATTAAATTTAATACACAAACCATGGTGCCCAATCAAATTTCATTAGGCATGAAATGACCTAATGAAAGTTGATATGCCTTTAAACCTACCAATCAATCTATTTGGATATTATGAGCAAAAACTTCAAGATTATTCTAAATGTCACAACCATGAATATGGACTCTTATTGATAGCAAAATGTGTCACTAGTGAATAATAAAAAGGCCAATGAATAAAATGACGGATATACTGAAAGAACGCTGATAAATAAAGAAAAGGGTTAATGGATAGAACGATGGATATGCCATGAGAAGATTGAGGATTTTTTTCCCTAAAAGCCTAATTCTCAAGGAACCAAAAGAATTGCTTAAAGCAATATTTTTCTTTTATGAAAAAGCCATATGGCAAACTTTTGACAATTGATTGATGACCATTTTTAAAAGTGCTGGTCGCAGAGAAACAGAGGTGGATAGGCCCAGATAAGAATTTATCTATAATAAAAATTTGTGAATAAAAGTTCCTTGTGAAAGAATCACCAACTGGCTTGTGTCTAATTCTGGACAAAAATATAAGACTGATGAGGAAGATATTTTAATCTTTTTTTTTTTTTTGCGTAGGCAACAAGTTTGAAATGATAATTCTTTTGATAAATGTTCTGGGGATTAAGCCACACCTGGCAGTCGAGAACAATTGGTCAAAGAGTGGCCGAGGTGGCAGGCGCAGATACCAAGGAAGGTGGAGGAGCTACCCACACCTATAGAGGAGTGTTAGTGGGAGATGCTAATAAGAAAAGGAAGAAGTATGGGGCAAATCAATACCTGCAACAACCACCCATGGAAAAAGGGGATCTCCCAAATTGGGAAGTAATTAATTTTGAGAATCCTGACACCCCTGACAGCAGAAAGGGATTCTTTGTAAATGGTAAGGAAAATATTGAATTCCCCAACTGTGTCATGCCCCCACACCGGGTTTCGGTGAATGTCAATAAATATGAAGGAATCGAAGCAACAAACAGATTCCTGACGACTATTTGATCCTGGCCGACCTTATGATCAAAATAATCAAGACGTGAGATAAGGTGAGGCCTGGATTGAAGCGATCACCTTATTGATCAGCTGTAGGTATTGGACCATTGGACAACTCGGAGGGACTTGAGGGTGACAAAATTCCCTTTGACAGTCAGCCTTGGGAATAACTAGAGCCATGAATTCCTCATTTATGTTTCTTTTTCAACAATTAAATTGATCACTTTGATAGCTGGTTCCCAACATATTTGTGTACTTGTAAATCTTAAAATAAGAATGAGCTGTTAAATCAGACGTTTACATTCAGGTTATTCCCTTTTATAGGGCATAATCCTTACTTTCTCTGAAGGAATCCTTCTACACCTTCTTCTCCTGTTCTAGGTTATTGTTTCTTGCGATCAAATCTTGATTAGAAAATCCCATTATTTAATTTTCTTTCATCCTACAAACAAAATGATTTTAATACTCTACTCTGAATCTGTTTTCTCTTGATTTTCGTAAATCTCTCCAGAATGAAAAATCTGAGAGTTGAGTCTGAATTCCAGTTGGGATTGTTACATTCACTTACACACAAATACCCTTGAGAAGAGTATGAATCCACCCCCATCTATGGGGTAAATAGTAAGACTTGTATCTTGCAAAAATTATTGTTATATTCCAAAAATTGTTAATGCTATATTCACTCAGAAGAAAGAATTATTCTTACAATATAAGATATGTTTTGGTTTTAAATAACTGACAAAAGAATGATAAACTGTTAAAAAAAACAATCAATTATTTCCTAAATCTCATGACTTTTGATATAAAATCTAGGCAATTCATCCTGGGTCATTGTTTTTGGGATTTAGGAATGTTCTAAAATTTATCATTTACTTTTCAACTTTTTCAAAATATTAATCAATGGTTCTGATTTATGTTAACTCTTTGGAGTATTGAAAGGAAGAATAAAAAAAAAAAAAAATCTTTAATAATATAATACTTAAAGCAATGGATTTGGTCAAAAAAATATTGCCTTTAAAAAAATTCTTGATAATTCTTGATATTAATCCTGATTTTAAATTCATAAATGGATAAACTGACATTTAAAACTGCAAATGAGTTTTATTTTTTTTTTTTTTTTTTTTTTTGATCAAAATCTATTGGTTGGAGAAAAATTGTATTGGAATATGAAGAAGTTTTTTTTTTTTTTCATTACTCTAAAATTTGAAATTTTTGTCCCTATTTCATTATATTTCTTTTACTTAAATAGGATACATTGTCTTGTTGTGATCGGGCTCTAAAGAAAACAAAAAAATCCCGGAAAAATGGTGAGTAATTACATTTTAAAGTACATAAGTTTATAGCCTGTTTTTTTGTGGCAAGGGGAGTGGAAAAAGATTATGTAGTGTTACAGATAGGTATAGGTATCCAAGTAAAGATGAACATTTTGTATTTACTGACAATATTTCCTTTGCTGTCATAATGCTTTCCTTAGTATTTATTAACAATTGATGGGTTGATGAGCTTCCTTTTTAATGGTTACAAGTAAAATAGCAAGTACTGAACTTCTGTTTGAGTTATTTTTAAAAAGATTTATGTAGAATGAAGGTTGAACAGACCAGTGTATTTAGTTGGTTGCTTTTTATGCTTTTTCATCATTTGAAACCATTTAATTGTAAAATATACTTAAATCACATGACCAGATTATCTATTTTAAATCACATGACCAGATTATCTATTTTAATGTCTTTTGATCATACTGCCAATCAAGTCATGCAACTAAATTTCTTACCGTATATTTGGGTAGTTTTTGTTTCTGAATAAAAAAAAAACCAAAAAATTTGCATTGAAATAAATTAAACTTTGAAATTTGTTAGTGAAGAGAATGTAGAAAAAAATCTATTTTGGTTTGAAAAGATAAAGAAATTAGCTGTTGTGAAAATGTTGTTGTCCATGCAAAAAGAAAATGTTTTGAATACAAGTGGTGATACTCAGCATGAGCATATACATATAAATATGTCGGGAAGTAATTTTTACTTTTCTCTATGGTATGAGTTGGTTTTCTTTTTCTGCAGAACCTGACTGGATCCAAGTTCTTATGGAAGTTCTCATTGGCATGATGGCCAACCCAACTAAATTGTCTCGGATAATTGCCCTGAACATCTTCTCTGCTGTCGTGGAACGCATCACACTTGAAAATGTCACACAGATTACAGAGGTAAGAAAAATGTTATCAGAAAATTATCTTTGACTGACTTGTACTTCAGAGATATTACATCATTTTCTCACTTTAAATTAGTACAGCCCAAGACCAGATGGAAGATTGTGTTGCTCCAGTTTTTTCAAATAAGCAGGATTTGTTTCAACCATTGAAATGTTAGCTTTTTATCTGGGCTTATAGGTAGGGAGGGTGGGGAAATGACACAAACTGTTTTCACTGTATGATAGCCACACTGCCACCATCACACTCCAAAAGTCAGACACATACAAGACCCACCCACAGGTCAAGAACTTATCAACATCTTACATATGTGTAAGTGCAGAAAAATAGCTTACCAAGAGCAAAGGTGCCTTTGTCCCCTTCAAATTACTTTCCCCTTGGAACATCATACACTGACCACTTTTCATAGCTTCCACTGTTCAGTATAGTTTGTAAAAATTCTTCTCTCTTTTTTTTTTTTTTTTAAAGTGATCGCCATTAGCTGTCTTATTGCATAATTGTTTGAAATCTCTTTTTCAATAGGGGATCTTAGCTTTAGGAAATGCCTGGGAACCAAGTGCGTGTGTGTGTGTGGTAAAATGAAAAACTGGTGTGCCTGCTTCATGCAATATTTTGTGAAGAATCTCTGCCAGAAATGTGAAGAATTGACAGATTCATAGTCATAATGAATACAATGGTCACATGATCTGCACATTCAAATTGTTGAGTAAGGTTCCCTCTTATTGCTTATATCAAAGCTGTTGAACTAATTATGATATTCAAAATAGCTGGATATTTACCGGTCAGACTTTTTGTGTTCAGATATGCACAAATGATGCTCCAAAAGTAATACTTATTTATTTCTATGGAAACAGTGATAAATATGGGGAGTGACAATAATACCATTGCTTCAAAGAAGTCCATGAGGGCTTTGCGCAAATCTGCTTCATTGGTGAAGGATTTCCCACAAAGGGAGTGGAAGAGGTGGTAATCGGATAGCGCAAGGTCAGGTGAATAAGGTTGATGGCACAAAGTCTCCCACTCAAGTTGCTGTATGGTATCCCTGACCACTCGTGTGATATGCGGCCTGGCGTTGTCATGGAGGAAAAGCACATCTTTGCGATTCGCCAGTGCTGGCTCTTTCTGCACAATGCCTGTTGCACACGTTTCAATTGCTGTTTTGTACAGAACCCACTTTTCATCACTGGTAAGCACCCGATTGAATAAGGATGCGGTACGGTGGCGAGAAAGCATTGATACGCAGGCTGCCACTCGTTGTTCCTTGTGGACCTCCAACAGCATTTGTGGAACCCACTTTCTCAGTTTGTACGTCTTACCTAGGCGGTGCAGGTGAAGTCTAACTGTTTCATCGGAAACGTTGAACTGTCTTGCAAGTTCACCACACGTTAGACTACTGTCCTCTTCAATGGCCGCCTTCAGGACTCCGTCATTCAAGACCTGTGGTCGTCCACTGCAAGGCTCATCATGGAGAGACAAATCTCCTGACTTGAATTTTCAAAACCAATGCCTTGCAGTACATGCATCCACAGCACTATCCCCAAATGCTTGACATATGCAGCAACTTGATGCAGCTGCTGATAAGCCCACTTTGAAGTCGTAAAGCAAACGGCCCCGAACGAGATCTCTAGACACTTCCATCCTTCTCACAGCTGTCCGGCTTATAACTGATGGCTGGGCACGGTGTGTGTGTTTTTTATAACGTCTGATGTTCCTACTTCCGGCTGTCTGAATTTGAAAACAATTGCTACACGCATTTCGTATATATTTCAACTTCATTCAATGACTAATCAAAAAACGGACAGAACTTTTTTGGTTACCTTGTAGTTGAAAGAGTGAGTATGTTGCATTCATTTAAATCCTTGTTTTGTAAATTTGAAATTCTGTTTTTTGTTAAATATTTTTGAATATTGATCATTGGTAAAAAAAAAAAAATTTCCCATTATACCATGGCTGATATATAAATAAATTACTGTTTATGGTGCTGGTATTTACAAGACTTGTAACAAAAAAACTTTTGGCCTCTACTTTTTTTTTTTTTTTTTTTTTTTTTTGTCATGATTTAAATTGGTAATCTGAAAATTCCTTTTTCTACAATATTTTAAAATAATAATTATTGGCATTTCTATAATTTTCACACTAGAAAAGATGATTTTATTCAATTTCAGAAATTCAGTTTATTGTTTTTAAAACCAGTTTCTTACACTTTGATAGATTTTGACAAAGAATGCATCAAACCTTAATGATGATGAAGACTTGTATTTTGAGGGTGAGTTTTTTTTTTCTTTTTAACTACAATGGTAATTTTACATTGAGTTTATTTTGATGTATTTTTCAAAACTGTTTTTTTTTTTTTTTTTTTAACAATTTTTAAAAACAAACAAATTGTTTGACTTTTAATGGTTTGAATTTTTTCATTCATACATACTCAAGCAATCATAATAAAAAACTCTTAATGCTAATAATGACAGACTCTTTAATGTTTACTTAAATTACAATAATCGAATATTCACCTTTTAGGATGGACAACAAATTTTTCTGTGTTTTTTGAATCAACAATGTGTTTAGAATTCCAGTCTTTATTTGTCAGTTTCTTCCTGCATAGAAAAAAAAAATCAATCCATGTGATTTATGAAAGAAAAACAAATGATTATTATTTTGTGTTCATTTATTGTTAAATCATTGTATTGGGTGGATGGTTTTAAATTCACCTCTTAAACAAGTTTTTTTTTTTCCTTTTCCTATCAAAAAGCTATCCTCCCGCCTCTATCCAAATTTATATTTCTTTCTTTTTCTGAAAATTTGGTATGAAGCATTTTCAATATTTTATATATTTTTTATTTTAATTTTTGCCACTTTCAACACATTTTGGTTGATTTCTTCTTCAGCCTTCCTGTTTAGTCTGGAGTTCTGAGATTAATTATTTTCATGATTCCATAAATGTTTACCCTTTAGAAAATGAAACTAAATAAAACTAGCCTAATATGAGTTAGTAGACATTTTGAATATTAGTTGTCATTGCATAAACTTTTCCTTACAACGTATGCAAAACTTTGCACCAATAAAAAGACTTAGTTTCAAAATAGAATATTTCAGTTGCATTGAATATTTACATCATAAATTGTGTACTTTTTTTTTTTTTTGCGGCCAGTGAAGGAAGTAAAAATTTAGATCAAAATTCTTTTATTCCTTTCTTTTCTTAATCAGGAGAGAGAGAAGAGGAGGAGGAGGAGGAGGAAGTAGAGAGTGGTGACGATGAGGGAGAAGAGGAGGAAATGGAGAATGAAGAGGAAGACAGTACTGAGGAGGAGGAAGAAGAAGAAGAAGAAAGCATGGAAGTTGATGAAGAATTTCGACAAAAAGTGAAAGCTGCCCTCGGAGATGCTGTGGTTGGATCAGATGAAGTAAGTTCCTTCAAGTAGAGGATGTTATGACTTAATTGATATTGTTTGGAGTTTTGCAGATCAAGGAGCAATAAAATTAATGAATATTCCTTGGCAGTGTATTAAAAAAAATTCAGATATTTTGCAGAAATCTTTCTTTTCAAATTTGTGCCTTTTTGCTTAATTCCGAGTTTTTATTCTTTAATTAGAATGGCAGCATGTGGGTTTTTGTCATCTTCTACATTTGAGTTGATTTCAGGCAATATAGATAATTTCTATTCATCATTTATGCTTTGTGTGTTAAGTTAACTAAAATGAGACCTTTACTAATTATGATAACATGTTGGGTGACTGCCATAGAGTGTTTTCTTTCAAGACTTTGTATTTTAGGGTGTTTTCTTTCAAGACTTTGTATTTTTGCTATTGCTATTGATGGGTTGGATAACAAATTTGTCCCTCATGTATGTGTTGCTAATTGTTTTTTTTCTGTGTGTCCTCTTGGCATTTGTAAGGTGTTTCTTATTGCTGCTGCTCTTCCTCCATCTTGCATGGCTCTCTCTTGTATAACTTGTTCTATTTTTGTGTTAGCTGCATCTTAAAAGCAGATGGGATGTTTGTCCTGCAGATGGCATTAGTGGACATCATGCTGCAAGCAGGAATGGTGATTCCAACTGTACTCAAAAATAACCAAAGCTGATCTTAGTATATCGACATCTGTTATCATAAATCTTTTGCTCCTTACCAATTCAGCCGGCTGATAATACTTTGCTGAATGGGATTGTCTTGATTACCCCCTCCCCCCACACTCTGGCAAAAGTTGAGATTTCTCAACCAAAACAACCATCATATATTCTTTATTAAGAGAAATTCAGAGAGTTAGCTTTTATTCTGAAAGGCACCTTTGGCTGGTTTACTTTTTCACATGCGTTCTAAACTGAATTCTAAATATTTTTCAAAATATAAATTGTATGGCTAATGATGAAAAAAGATGGAATAAAGTTCTGAAATGAAGTCTTTTTGTTTTCCACGTTTTCTGAATACAGCTGAACAATATACTCTCTTATTTCTCCACACCATAAGATGTCCACTTACAAATTGGCCAGGAATATTTAGAAAAAAAGGAAACAAATAATATTCCAATGAGGATTCATTTCTATTTCTCTTTTCTTTATTTTGACATTGTTTTGATTTCTAATCAAGCACATTTCATTCCTGAGTCAAACGTAGAAGGGAGGGTAGAGGTTAGTCTGTTACAAATAACCCAATAGTATAAAGATGCAAGGTGATTATTGGTGGTTTCGTGTTTTTTTTTTTTTTTTTTTTTCTAAAAGAACATTAAAGGAAAAAAACAATAAATAGGAGCCTAAAAAATACATGCATTAATGACGAGGCCAAAGAACATGTTGGCTGAAATTGAATAAAAATAAGAAGAATAGAGATGCTTGGAACACTGACTATATTTTGATATTCTATATGTTTGTCTAATTAGGAAGATGATGATTTACCAGATTTGAGTGATGATGAAATGATTCGAAGAGATGAAGCATTGGTGTCAGCTTTTCGCAGTATGAACAAGAATAAGATTAACAAAACAGAGCGCGATAAGAGGCAGCAGTTGTTGACATTGAAGATCAGGTAAGACCTGAATATAAATATATATATGTGTGTGTGTGTAGGGTGCGATGGATAAATTGTCGTCTAAATTATGTAAAGAAATAAAAATAATACTGACATATAATTTTTACAGATATCTTTATCAAAATAACACAAAAATATCTTGAAATACTAAAGAATAAATTTATTCAATAAAGTTACCATTGGCTTCAACCAAGGCCTCCTGACAACTTCAGAATCTCCTGTTACTCTTCTGGACTGTCTTGTTTAAGTTGGTGAATGTTGCCATAATCCTTGCCTTCAATTCATATTTGGTGTTACAAAGGGTTGTGTCGGTCTCTTGCTCAACTGCGCCCTACACATAATAATCAAGGGGCTTGCAGTCTGGGGAATTAGGTGGCTAGATGTAATGGATGATGCGGTCGCAGAAATTGTCAAACTACCATGACTGGGATCTCTTGCTTGTGTGGCATGATGCAGAGTCCTGTGGCCAGACATAGGATCTTCCAGTAGCCACCCTCTTGACACAGGACAGCACTACCTTCTCAAGGCACTTAATGAAGCCCTCTGTGTTGAGTCTGAGGTCCTCACCAACAAACGCTGGAGTTACCAGAACAATTGGAGTGAGTTTTTTGAGCTGATGTATCTTCATAATCACCATTAGACTCCTCTGCACTGTCCTCAGATTGACACCCAAAAACTCTGAAATATTTGTATTGGAGATTCTGGCACAAATACCAAGCAGTACAGCATGCTGTTTCCAAATTTCTGGCAGAGTGAATTGTGCCATGATGCTCTTTTTCTGACAGATAATGCCCAACTAACCCTACTATACTGTGCAGTTGACAAAAAAAAAAAACACCACCCATGTGCAAATTTAAAAATTATAAAATGGCAGCAATTTACCAATCGCACCCTACGCTGATATTTACATTTCTTTTTTTTTTTTTTTTTTCCCTTCTATTTTTCTTTCTTTTTTTTTTTTTTTTTTTTCTAACAAAACTTGGTATTAAAAAATGTTACTTTATGAATCTTTTGTGATGTTTTAATATCAATATATTGGCTTAGTCTGGCACAAGGCTACAAGTGTAGAGCATTGAGCGAGAATCAAATTCATTTCATTAATAATATTCTGCAAGTCTATCTTAAAACCCTAGTGAGAATAGGAGAACATACAATGATAAAAATTAAATTACTACTCATCGATACTGACACATATGAGAAAATAGATCAACACAAAATAATTACAGACGCACAAAAATTTAAATTAGCAATTAGAAAATTAATTATGAAAACAAGCCATGGTGTAAACTAATAGATTACCACCCTAGAATACTCAAACTTTATGGTCTAACTAAAACACGCAAAGCAGTCCTTGCAATGCAATATATCATGTATTGGCTGGGGTACCTCAAGGCGGTGTAATGGTTAGCAAGCTTGTCTTGCTGGCACAATTACGAATGAGTAGTGAGTTTGATCCTCACTGGGTGCCCCATACATTCGGCCTTGTGCCACATCTAAGATACGCTTGGAAAATTGCTATATCATGTATTGGCTGTGCTCCCTACAAATTGGTGAAAGCCATAACTCAAATTTTAACATCTCTCCTTGGAACTATCAATGTGTCACATATTAAAAAAATCAGGCAACCTGATTGAAGAACTAACGGAAATAAATATGACAAGATCTTACTTATTATAAAACGCAGATTGTGTGTGTGTGTGTGTCTGTACGTTTATATATTGGATCGGATTCCCACATTTTTCAACCGATTTCAACAAAACTTCACAGGACTGTGTAAATTACCTTATGTGGTTCTGACATAATAAAAATTGAAAAACACAATTGTTTTTGCACAAAATCAATTTAAAAAAATGATAAAACACGATTCTGTCACCAGAATGAAAGGGGGACAGCTCATATCGAGTTATACTTATTATAAAACCCAGGTTGTTTGTGTGTTCATTTATATATGGGATCGGATTTCCTACATTTTTCAACCGATTTCAACAAAACTTCACATTTTTTTGGCAGGTAGTGTTTCTTATTGTCTTGCACACTTTTTTCTTTATTTTTACATTCAGAATGATTTAAAAATTCTATTTACAAGACAATTGTTTATAATAAAATTCTATTCAATCGGTAGACTCATAACGATTGAAAACAATGTTTTTGTTTGGGTTTGACCAATTTGTAAAAACAAAAAAAAAAAAACTAATTAAGACATGCGTGTCCATCAACCTTAAACAATAATCTTTGTCAATTTTATTTTTCAGTCTTTATGATGGTCGATACTTGATCTATCTCTTACTGTTACATCCCCGGGCAACGCCGGGCTCTACTGCTAGTTATGGCTAATTTAGATGTTAAACACCTCAATGGGTTATTTAATGCTGAGAAGATTTTTATTGCTTGTAATATTTTTCAAAAGTGTATTGCTGCTAATATTTTTTTTCCAAAAATGTATTGCTGGTAGGCATGGTGAAGTAATGGATAGCAGCTCAGATTGTGGAATTGGAGAGCTGAGTTCGAATTTTAGTCGAATCCATTACATTCACTTACATGCTAATACCCTTGGGAAAGGTATGAATCCTCCTCTTCTCCCACCAGCTATCGGTAAATAGCAGAACAGACTGGGTTCTATAGCCTTGGGTGGAAACTGGTTTACTGTAGAAAGAAATGACAACCTACTGCGGGGAAAAAAAATCTGCCTTGTCAGTCATGTATTGAAAGATACATGATCAGCTAAGTGTGTATCACTCATGGCACATAACTGACTGATTGCTGATAATAATTTTTTCTTCAAAAATTTATTGCCGGTAATAATTTTTTACAAAAATGTATTGATGGTATTAAAATCTATTTCTACACTTTCATAGTGTTTTGACCTCAGTTTGGGGGTTAACTAATTGCTCAAAGCTGGGACCCTAATAGGTGCTACCACCCCAAGTCAGGGTGAACATAGGAACAGCAGCAATTAATAGGTGGTTCCACACTTCTCAAAACCTCCCAATCAGAGGCCTTGCTGTCGGATGTAGTTTATCGTCTTATCCCTCTGAAGAGGTACAGTCAGCATATTCTGAAACCCCAGCTGACAGGGTGAACAAAACATTATTTCATCCATAGTGGGGATGATGTTAACAGGCATTTGCTGAGCTTTAGCATTGTCATAGTGCATATGGCTGAAGTCCAAAACTTAACCATTTGTTCTGCCAAGATGCTCTGGTAAGTGTCAACATATTTAATTGCAAGCACCTCTTTTCTAGAATCTGTAATGAAGGTCTGCTCAACATAGTTACATTATAAACCACAGCTTAACTTTAGTGGCTATTGAAGAAACCTGAACATTTTTTAATAGATATCAACAAGAAGGATCAGCTAGTCATTCTAATCAACTCCATAGTCTCCTGAGACTGATGGCTTCCTATATTGCCTTGTTTAATTCTGAGGTTGACTTCAATGATCAAGCTTAGTTTGTTTGAAAGATAGAGAAGGATAATAATAAACAAAATACTGTATAGTGCCAATCTTTTAATTTAGAGAGGAATGTTGCTTTTAGAGTACAGATGTCTACCATTGGTTCAGTGGGGGAACAGGCAATGATCTCAGAAACTCTTTAGCTTTTTGATATAGTTTGTATCCTGATTGGTTCATGAGTTGTATTTTGGTATGAAAAATTTATTTTCTGTAGATTAGATGTAATTCCAAAAGAGATTTTGATATTTTGAGTATTAATTCTCTTTCAGATTGCTGGACTTGATAACAGAAATCATCAAATATCCTCAACCAGCTCAAATTATTTTGGTAAGAATTTAATTTTATTAAAGAAAAAAAGATATGATAGACATTACTGTGAATTGAATGCCTTTGTATGTGAAAGTTTTTGGGGTCACAATTGAAAGCAAATGATTTGCTTTCTTTTTGAAGATTCTCCTGGAAGTTATGAGGGGGTCTGTGATTTAATCTCTAGAGCAAAAGGAGTTATTTGATAAGTCTTGTCATTTTAGTCACATAATTCAGCAGGAAAGTCAAGAACCTGTCTCTTTTCTTTTGCCCTGGCCATGGGTTAAATAACAAAGACTAGGCTCTCTAATCTTGATTGGCAACCAATCTAGGAAAAAAAAAACACAACATTTAATTCAAATCGAGCCAGTAATGAGAAATTCCACTATCTTATTCAAGAACAATCATAGCAATGCAGAATTTAGATATTACAAAAAAAAGGAAGCTGTGAAGAGCCTTGTCTATATACTGAAGACATATGGTACATGAGAGAGGAAGATTGTAAGAATACCTGATCTAATTGAACTCTTCTATAAACTATAATTGCATGACAGTGGCAAGACCTTTGTCTATCTATTTGTGGTTTCCTGTCTCCAGTGAAGATGATATATTCGTAAAAGTTTGATTTATCAACATGTGAATACATATACAAAACGTGTGAATTTGATGGTATCCCTGCAATAGTTCTTAAATGTGCTCCTGAACTGGCTCCTGTTGTTTCTAAATTCTACAATAAATACCATGCTGTTTCCTGATTGTTGGAAATCCACTTCTGTATTTCCAGTCTTGAAGAATTCAGCTGAACCTTCTATTGGCCTATTATTACCCTTCTACTTGTCTTTGGCAAAGTACTGGCAGCTCTAATTAACTTGGAATTGGTTAAGTATCTCACTTCATGAGGCCTTCTTTCAGATAAGCAATATGGCTTTTGCTTCTGTAGGCCAACTGCTGATGTGATAATGATTACTGCTGAAAGATTTTATCTTTTAGATAAGTATAATGAAACTTGGCTGTTGCTTTGGATACGTCAAAGGTATTTGACACATTTGGCATGTTCGTCTTCTTCACAGATACAAAGCTCTTGGTATTTCTGGATAAATTTTTGAACTGATTCAATCTATTTTATCAAATGAAAGTTGTCTTGAATGGCCACTCTTCTAAATCGTTTTGCATTCATACGGATGTCCCCCAGAGTTCTATTCTTAAACCTACATTGTTCTTAATTTTCATGCATGATCTTCCCAATGTTGTCACTTCTTAATTGGATATCTATACTGATAGCACCACTGTTTACTCCTATCTTAATGGTAAATCTGATCAGTTCAATAAGTTCAAAATGACCTACAGTCTTGTTAACTAGGGCAAGAAACAGCTTGTTAATTTTAACTTCTCTAAAATGAAATTGCTCTCTTTTAAACTTTTTTGCTTTCCATCAACATGGCTGATGTGACACCCATTGGCGGTCACAGTACAGTACCAATATGTGATGTCCACAATATATGACGCTGCACAGTCGGCTCATGGTCAACTCCCAGTTGCGGCGCGAAGCTGTAAGGTTTCTTCCACCAGCGTTTTGGGGTTGACTCCTTGTTGCTGCCATCAGCCTGTGTCCCGGTCAATCTGTTCGTTCCCGGTTCGATACCAGCTTTGTCATTCTCAGCTTGCCTCCAACGCTTGGTCACCAAAGTAACTGCTTTGATCTCAAGTCTAACCTACCCACGTTGTGACTTTGATCTTAGGTAGACGAAATCAATCAGGCGTCGGGCCATAGTGCAAGCTGAATCTGGGGTAAAGGTGATACCGCACAAGTGTAAGTAAAAAAAAAAAATGATAAAACAAACTCACGAGGTTCAAATATGTTGAGAAATAACAATTAACTTTATCTATCTGTTGAATACAGGATTGTGTTTCTCTCCCAGTTTCTATGGATTCGTGTTACTTTTTGCATTTCTTAAGCGAGTTATGGTATCTTAAGTTGTTCGTCAATAAAAACTTGCTTTCGGTAGTAAGACTAAGTTGAAAAGGACGTGGAAATCTTTCGGTCAGCTTCTGTGAGGCAACACTCTGACTCTGTAATTCCGACTGTGCCTGGCACTCCACGAAACTCTCTGAAACTCTCTTCAGCTACCTCGAGACGTTTGTTTATATGGACACTGACCAACTCCGAGGTGGGGCCTGACGTGGTTTGGGTTCTTTGACAATTCCCAATTCCCAACGAAAATTCTCTTTGTTCTTAGGCCAGGAAAATTAATTACTTCCCATTTTTGGAAGACTAATCACTTTCTGTTTCAGGCGTTTCTCCCTCGTCCGTGAGGGAGGGTTGGAGGAGAGTTATCTTCCAGACTCTTCCTCTCTCACATTGGTATCTCATACCAATCCCGTCAGTGGGTGTTAACAACTTTTCCGTCTTTCTCATACATTCACCTCCGCCTATCACCTATGCTACCAGTTAGCCAATGATCTCTCGGCAGTGTGGGTGTCGCTAGACTGGCCCTCATGTTTACAAAATCCTTTTTTTTTTCTTTTTTTCTTTTCCTTCGGCCCAAAACATTTACAAATCCCAGATTGCCAATTAATTCTTTATCACATCCCAAATCCACTTAGTCAACTTTTTAACTGGGTGGTCGTGTTTACCTGATAATTATATTCTTTATTTTTCTCATGTCTTAAAATTCTCTTATCACCAGATACCTATTTTCGATGAAACTGTGTCTGACGTCAACAGTTTGAATAAGCAATAATAATGATCCCCTTTTTGACTCTCTTTTTTTCATGTCAAGATTTGTACATAGACCAGATGGCTTCCCTCGCTGGAATCAGGAATTAAAGTTAAATGATATCTCTGAAAGATAATCAATGGCCACTCTCCAGGGTGGTCCCAAGCCAAATTTCCTCCATGGTCGCATACGTCGGCTGGCTTGTTTATCTTTTAGAATTCTGTTTCGTTTGACATGTCACTCCCTTATCACGACATTAATTAATTTGACAGAATCACAGTCTCGCTCATTCTTACTGATTTTCTGTCTTTTGCAAAAAGTATCTTTGTTTTGTAAATAAAATAAATTCTTCTTTTTAATGTTGCTCAGTCTATCTTTTGGTATAGCTCTTTCTCGCCTTAAGTATTTCTCATTTTTAATTTCTATGGTTAATTAGTTAGCCAATTACCATAGCTAAATAGTGTCACACTGATACTAACCTCCATGAGAGTGAATCCTTTGCACGTTTTCTCAAGCTGATGTTTTCTGCTGACATGAAGTGGAAAGATTGTATTGAATTAATTTGCTAGTTCTACTGCAAGGAAAATTTGTTCACTGTAGACAATTTTTCTCACCAGAATCTATCTTTACGTCCTTATAAATATATCATTTGTCTATGCATGGAATGTTGTGGTCATATCTGGTCAGGTACTTCTGCTGTGTATTTAGAGTTTCTTGATAAAATCCAAAGAGGAATCAGCAATGTTCTTGGTTTGATAACTTTCTGATACCAGTTAAATTTTGGTGACTTGATTCACATAAGATCCTCATCAATTGCTTATCTGCTACTAATACTAATTAACACAAATTATAATTAACACTAATGATGTAATTAAACCTTACTAAGATGGCAACTCTGAAAGCAATATGGCAAGCCAAAGAAATTTGCAGTATTCTAAAATTAAAAATCTAAAAAAAAATGACTATAAGAATAAAAGTAACTTGTTTTTTTTTTTCCTTCCAGGCACTTCATATTCCGTTGTTGGAGGTACGAGAATCAAGTCTTCGTAACAAGGATGAAAAGACCCTCGGCAACAAAGTTACCAGCCTCTACCAGGAAATATGCAAATGTAAAGTAAGTGAGCATTTGTCTTGACTCAATTGCATTGAATCAGTTTACAGATATGAAATGTTTTTCTAAGCTTTGTGATCATAGGTAGAACTTTCATTCACATAGTAACAAAAATGCAGGGAATAAAATAACAACTGTATTTTTTTTTTTTTTAAGCACTTTGTTGTAACTCTCTCTCTCACCCCTAATACACACACAATGCCATTTTGAATGCTACCAATTTTATATGTTATTTACATAATTCGGACTATTGTCCTCATCTTTGTCGCTATATTTATTACAACGTTTTGGCCATTGTACGCTCCGTCCTTCTTCAGGTGGTTGGAATGTCGAACTTAACCCTTTATTTCGCTCACTGGGATAAACTGTTCTAGTTCCACATGCCATGTTTTTAATGGATGTCAGTTATCAGTTATCTCCAAGTTCTCCACTGTCTTAACCGGGTATTGAACTCGCACTCTTTGGGTCCTGTCACTGGATCTAACCAATGCCTTTATCCACTGTGCCATGTGCCCTCAAGGACACATGGCACAGTGGATAAAGGTGTTAAGGCAGTGGAGATATTGATAAAGATGAGGACAGTATTCTGAATAATGTAAATAATACCTCATCTCAGAAATATGTATAATAATTATGTATAGTATTTACATTAGTCGGACTATTGTCCTCATCTTTGTCGCCATATTTGTCACGTTTCGGCCGTTGTACGCTCCGACCTTCTTCAGGTGGTGGAATTTCGAACTGAACCCTTTATTTCGATCGCTGGGGTAGACTGTTCTAATTCCACGTGCCATGTTTGATGGATGTCAGTTATCAGTTATCTCCTGCTAATTTTCCCTCTGAAAGTTCTCCACTGCCTTAACCAGGAATTGAACTCACCTTCTTTTGGGTCTGTCACTGGATCTAACCAACGCCTTTATCCACTGTGCCATGTGTCCTTGGGTATGAACTTCTGAGTATTATAAACCTAATGTTTTCAGCATCATTTTTACCAGTGCTCATATTGCAATTTTTTTGCTGTTATCATTGCATGTCTTTACCAGAGTTCATATTGCAACTTTGTTATCATTGCTTTTCTCTGGCACTCCTTATTACTGGTTCCCATATTTCTATGCTTGGTCGGCTCAGGAGATTTTTGTGGCCTAGCATATAATTATGTATAATAGAATAATTTATAATTATGTATAATAGAATAATTTAATTTAAAGAAAAACAAATCCCTTGTAATAATTTATTTCACCAGAAACTTTTATTTTTCCCTGGATCTTCAGACATGTATGTATATATGTGTGTGTGTCTATATACACACACACACTGTCCATTGACTTTTCTGCTACTCCATCACTGCCATGAATTAACAAGATCAATTTTTCTCACTGTAGGGCAGAGTGGGGAAATGAATATTGTAGTTTCAAATTTATTTTTTCAAGTATCATCATACTATATTGTGCACTGGAATTTAATGGATTGTCTGTGGTCAGGAAGAAAGATAAGCATTACTGCCAGTACAATGCTCTTGTACATGGAATTGTTCTTAAATTAGGTTTTACTTTTTGTTCTTTTATTGTTTTTAATTAATTTTTTTTCTTTTTCTTTTTTTTTTTAATGATTTGTGATAATTTATAAAAAGAAAAACTTGATATTTCTTTGCTCTGAGGTGTCTTTTTAATACTTTCTTTTTCAAGTTTCTTAAATTTTTTTTTATTTTGTTTTTTATATCAACTTTTCATCGGTTGATTCTCTCACCATTCAGTATTTCTTCTGAATTTGTTTTCATGGCAAAAGAATGAATTGGTTAAAAGCACCCATAAAAAAAGGGAAGAAATGAAAAATCCAGAAATTGATAATGGAAAGAATTAATCTGAGAATAAGAATTCATCTTTTAAGGATTATGGCAATACTTTCTTATTTTTCCTTTTTTTGTTTTTAATTTTCTGTTCACTTTTAAATGTTAGGGTTTTTTTCTCCTCATCATTTTTTTTCTCCTCATCATTTGTCTTAACTTTGACACTAATGAAGATTTTCTTAAGATCTATTGACTGAGCATAAAAATTTGTTTTTCATTAGATGACATCTGTTTAAACTTTATTCAAAATAACATTTGACTTTATTAGCTGATAAGTTTCATATTTGTTTAAAAAGAAAATGGCATAAATTTTCTTTAAGATTGGAAATAAAAATCAATATTTTCAGGCTATTTTTAATAGTAAAAATGCCACAAATGCTAGAAAAACTTTGGCCAATTAATGAAGAAAGCATTTTAAATGATTGAATGTATCAAAAATGGTTAGCAGAGTTTTACATGACAGTGATGAAATTAAGATATTACTGGGAAAGTAAATGATTGATTTGAACATGTACTGTCCCCAATTATGCCAATATTGGAAACATCAAATTATATGTATATTTTCTTTTGTTATAGAAAATGGTGCAAGTTGATTATAAATTCATATTGTCAAAAATTGCCCATCCCCACCTCCTTGGTATTTTTGTGTTATGCTTATTAATCATTTTGTATTATCAAATTTTTTCTCCCTGCCCAGGTGAAACCTGAAACAGTTACTGCTTTGTCTGTGGAGGAAATACAAAACAAAATTCAATCATTAGTGACTTTTTCTCGTAATGGTAAGATTTTTTTTGTCTTTTATTGCTGATGACTTTGCTTTAATGACTTGAATTGCACATCATTTTAGCTGTGATTTTAACAGCATTGGGAATTGACATGAGATTAAAAATTACGTTGAAAATTCAAGAATGCTTAAAAAATAAATTCAAACCATTGAATTCTACATTATTTTGGTTGATCTGTTCTACAGCTTTTAGGTGTATAATGCATAAAGAAAGATGTCTTTTCTTCTGTATAAAAAGAACAAAAAAATATCCTCTTTGTACACCTGAAGAATGCTAAAAAAATGGATCAGCAACAACACTTTTCAGTTGAAAGATTAACAGTTCTTTTTGTTGAGTTTTAGTTTTGTATTTGAATTTGTGGAAATGCAGTGAAAAATTTTTACATTACTTTTTTTGGGTCTGTTCAGTAAAATTTTACAGAACTACATTTACTTATGAAAACCTTGGCTATGTTGATTAATGCTGTTCGTTGATTGGTATTGATTGGTTTGGAATATATATATATATATATATATATATATATATATATATATATATATATATGATATCATATCACTCATACGAGTTTATAAATATAGAGGATTTGATTAATTATGGATTTCTGGTTTATTTATATTGGTCTTTGTGTTCAGATTTATTTTGAGAGTTGGGGAATTGCCAAAAAACTACTTCATCAATCTCCAATGAAATGTTAGCCCCAAATTTGTTTTTTTTCTCTCTTCCTCTTCACATTCACTAATATCGACTTTTTGCCCACTTGAAATCTATTTTATATTTCTGCTCAAATGTTTTTAGTTGAGAGATTTTCTTGGATGCTTAAATAATTTTCTTAAAATTTTTTCTA